GACCTGTTGCAAAAGCTGACATCCCACGTTATTTGCATAATAATTTCCTACAAACAAGCCTTCAAGGGTATGGATCATTTAGGGGAATGTCTTCGGACAGCCAGTCAAACTCGCACGGTGTCAAGTTCGGCCTTGGCGCTCCGACAGACCGATGTTCTGGCCCACCAAATTTGTATGGGAACTTACATTAAGTTGTTCTACTACGGAGTATAGTAGTTCAAAACCTACGCCACTACGCTCATTTCCGGGACAACAGCTGCCCTTTTAAGCACCTTTTGACGCCGTTTTTGATGGCTCCTGCACCCCGTAGACCACGTGACGGTGAGCCGTTTCATCTTGGCTCGTGCTGTCGAATGCCACAAAATCTGCCCCCCACCAAATAGCAAAAATACTTACCGTCTCTTTTGCAGGCCCAAAATATCGCAAGCCCAAAAATGGTTTCTTATGACTTACGCGCGCTGGGTCTTTCAAAGACGGCTGCCTGTGCATATAGTGAAGCGTCTTGAAAGATATATTCATCAATATCGTAATATTAATGAGTTCTCGCATCGCAATAACAAATTTTTACAATCTCTTTTCTTTTTGAAGGAGAAAACAATTGAGATTTCTTTACCGTCTCACCGACTAGACTAATAAAATATTCAGCGTCCATGATGTCCCAGAAAGGGTCCCGAAGCTTCCAACTAAAATGACAGAAAATGCCAGCACACAGGTAGGGGGTAACTAGGCAAAGAGGCCAAGGACAACGTCACCCCGCATATCAAAGCATACCTTTGTAGGCCACTCAGCGTAACGTACACTACCACTTGGCGGGCCAATTTGCACACACTTTACGCAGTAATTCTACCACTCAAAAGGGCCAACATCCACGTCCAATTAGGGAAATAATGAAGCTGGCGATACTTCCTATTTGAGCCTATCTGAGAGAATTCTTATGCGCAATGAATCCTCCGTACGGTGCGTAATTTGCACCCTAGAGGGCGCCCTGCCCTCTTTGGCAGCCCTGACCTCCTCAAGGTTCCACGAACGCTGCACCCTCTCTTTTACCATGCGTTTTGAGCGCTTTTTGACCTCTTGCTGATGAGATTGCTTGCGTAAGTTGTTGAGCTCATTTTGAAGCAATTGGGCGCCGGCATGCTCTTGAATAGCTGCGTGGCTTGGCTTGCGTACGGCGCGTTGAGTTCGAGGAGTAACTTTGGCCTCAATTTGCGCTTGGAGCTCTCGAATTTCATTGAGCTTCTTCGGAGTGCTATAGAGATGGTTAGGACCCTCTTTGACAGGCGCAGGTTGATACTCAGGGGTTGTGCGGCCAAAATTTTGAATTTCAGGGTCATCTAGCAGTTTTTGCTTATTTGTTGGCCAAATGCCAGCTCTTCTCCACCCTGCGCGAATATTTCGCTCAGTAAACGCTTCTTGACGAGCTCGTACGTAAAGTACTATAAAAATACTTCGATTGAGTGCTGTTGTGCCGGTTGGAGCGTATTCTTCAACTGCGCGGCTGTACGCGCTTGAAAGAGGCGAAAATGGACCTACGTCAAGAGGTTGAAGTTTGTGGGTAGCGTGTGCAGGTAAATAGAGAGGGTGGATGTTGTTTTCGAGGCAGAAATACTGAAATTCGCCAGTAATATGACTCTTTTGGCTATCAAGTATCAGGATGGTATGCTTGCCTTGTTTTGACGCAACTGGGACGAATATTCGACGCAACCAATCAACAGCTAGCTCTTCGTCAGTCCATCCCTTAGGAGAAAAAGCCCAAATAACGTCAGGAAGCTCCTCATGCTCTGGAAACATATGATGTTCAGTAGCCCTTTCAGTATTCATACACTCAATAATAGAGACCCATTGAGTGTTATCTGATGCTGGAGCCGCTGGGCCACCCATAGCAGGGTCAAAAACAACGTATTTTGACGCTATTTGCCCTATCTGAAACCCTGTTTCGTCCATATTGTAGATATCCTGCGAATCGACTGCGTATTGGCTGCGGAGCTGTTCGAATTCAGCGAAAAAGCGTTCAATAATGTCAGAATCGAGGGCCATCATTCGCTTAATATCCATATGTTGATTTCGGCGCGTTTTGAGCTCTGGATGGCGCGCAATTAAACGCTCCACATAGTGCTTGCCAAGTTGAATTTTATCCCCCTTGCTATGTAGCAATTTGGTGACCATTCGACGAATTTGAGCATAATTTGGGCATAGATGCTGCCTCTGGAGGTCCCTGAAGTATTGACTAAGCACTTTTTCTTCCTGTTTCGAAAGGCGTTGAGAAATGCGAACAGTTTCGGCTCGAGAGGGTCGTCCGGCGCGTCGATAGGCCACTGTTGATTTGGCACGTTGTAGTACTCTGCAGCCTTGCGAATTGAGCTAAATAGCCCTAGATCAACATTATTTGACGCATTCTGAATCAAATGCTCCTTATCCGAGTCCATTTGGAGCTATATTGGTGGAGCTATAGCTGTTTGAAATTTGAGGATGCCTGCGCGTTGGTGTGCAGAAATTGGCCCGCCAAGTGGGGTGGCCCGCCAAGTGGTAGTGTACATTTTCAAAGTCTCCGGTGATCTGCATGGGTACGGCGGACTATTACGTGCTAGAGCCCTGGGCTCTAGCACGTAATAGTCCGCCGTAATGGGGGCTGTGCCAGTTGCATAGCGCTCTGTCTGAGCCACGCGCATCATCTCCAGACTCTGTTGCCTCTACGCAAGTACAGCTGCTGTATCCGCCAAATTTTCCAGAAAAACTCAGGCACCATGTTTCTTTAGCAGCCAGAATTTGGTAATTAACGCTCTTCACTTGTTCTCACAAATCCTTGTTCAAGTTTCATATCGTGACTATCAGTCACAAAACACAACAACCATGGAAACTGTAAGCTTAGCGGCTGCTGTTCCTGGGTTGTTGACCTCCTGTCTAGACCTCATTGAACGCATTGATTCTTACAAGAGTTTCGATGTACATTCACGCCAGCTGTTGCTCGGTGCGAGGCAAGTAAGCTGAGGCTACAGGAATGGGCAAGTAATGTAGGTGTTTCAGGTGACAAACTGTCAAATGAACATCACGCTCGGTTGGACTATCCTGAGGTTGCCTCTGTCGTCAAAACCATCCTCTCAAGTGTTTGCGAAATATTTCAGAAGTCCGAGCACACCCGGACGCGTTTGCGACTTCAGCCGGAGCAAGCAAACCCTGTCGCATCACCATGGCCCGTATTCACCCGCAAAAATACTGATATGAACAAGGCGGGACGTAATGCAAGCTCAGCAAAAATTGGAATCGCCTGGGCCGTCAAGTATAGGGGCCAATTTACCAACCAAGTTGAGATGTTTGAGGTTCTAGTCGACAAATTGTACGAGCTTGTACCACCTAACAGAGGAGAAGGGCAGATTCAGAAGAGAAACGATCATGGCGATCGCATTGATGGTGTGTTCTACTCATTTACTCTGAGACCTATCTAATCTCTGAAAGCGATCACCAATATGAATATGTTTTCTAATTTCCAGCGTGATCTGGATATGTTGATGAAAGAGACCAGACGAAATGCTATCACTCAAGCTTATAAGGCAATCGACGAGTGGCTTGACGCCACTGAATTCGATCAACAATACGACAAACATGTCTCTGCACGCCTTGAAGGAACATGTGACTGGATCTTTGACCATCCTGCCTACCGTGAATGGATATCAATGGACTATCTTGACAAAGCAGCGAAGTTTTTTTGGATCTGCGCACCCGCAGGTCATGGAAAATCGGTGCTTTGTGCAAGGCTGGTTCAGCGTCTGGCAGAAACTGCAGCCTTTCCCTTAGCCTACGTTTTCTCTTCGAGCCATGTTCAAGCCGGCGGCCAGCCTGATGGCATCATTCGTTCCTGGATCTCACAGTGGACGAAACATAATCAAATTGCTTTTGACCTTGTTCGAGATAACCTGCAGTCAGGAAAAGTAAGTCGGAGAGCATCGCAAGCAGAAATCTGGGTGTTGTTTGAGACTGTTGTCTCTCAGGTTGAAAGTTGCACGTGCATCCTCGATGGATTTGATGAATACAACCAATTTGATGACAACCGGAGAGATTTTCTTCGAATGTTGAAGAAAGTAGTGGCAGGTACTAGGACTCGATGTCTGGTTGCGAGCCGAGGTGAGACTGATATAGAGCTTGAGCTATATTGTGCAGCGGGGAGCTCAGGAAAGCAAACCATGCTTGAGTGCAGGTTCTCCAAAAACAAAATCCAAGCGGACATTGATTTATACTCGAAAACGGTCGTCGCTAAGAAACTCCCAAGCAAGGATGAATCTTTCCAGCAAGAACTGGCGACACATATGGCTAAAAAGTGTGAGGGAATGTTCCTATGGATAAAGTTACAACAAGAGCAGTTGCGTGGTGGCAAAAGCAAGAAAGAGCTTCGAAATATTGTTAAGAGCATGCCGAGTGGCCTAGCTCAAAGCTACGCACGCAATTGGACGAATATCATGAACCTCTCCGAGACTGACCGCCATCGTGCTATCTCAATACTCCGATGGACAACTTTCGCACTCAGACCACTCACTATAGCTGAATTGACTGAGGCCCTTATCGTCGAGCCTGAAATTGGTAGCGCTAATCTTGCTGTTGACGACCTACCCGAAGAAATCAACCAGGAGTACATTGACGATGAAATAAAGTCCCTATGTGGCTCTCTTGTCGAAATTCGATCCGCTGCTCCTACAACCCCACCAGGCTCTCAGACCATCTATCTAGTCCATGTCTCGATTAAGGAATACCTACTTTCGGTGTTACCAGCTCCTTTGGGACTTGAGACAATCTCAACCTCTATTCCGTGGGATGCTGTTCAGAATATTGATCTTGCGAAGGTATGTCTTCGATATCTGAATTTCAAAAACGTTTGAGGAACTACAAATATATTTAAAGGAGACAAAGAGCGACGTCCATTTCTCAACTATGCTGCCAGCTTCTGGTTTTCACATATAAATGCCATAGAAGTGCACGTCAATATTGTTAATCGTCTCTTGAACGAATTTTTCGAACCAGGGAACACGAATTTGATTCATGGGCAATCTGTTTTGAGTCAAGCAAGTCTGGAGGGGAGCTTGAAGTAGGAAGTGGGCCTTCAAATTCCCTCTACTATGCTTCTTTCTTTGGTTTGACGTCAACCATGAAGTATCTTCATGATTTGGGAAATTCAGACATCAATTTGGCAGGAGGCCGGTACGGCACTGCTCTTCAGTCGTCATGTGTCGCTGGACACCTGGGAGCCTTCAACCATCTCATCGAGTGGGGTGCTAATGTCAATGCTAAAGGGGGCGAATTTGGCACTGCGCTCAATGCAGCAGCGGCTAAAGGTCAGGAGGTTATGGTCAAGTGCTTAGTGAACAGAGGGGCATCTTCAGCTTTTACAGATGCTGTAGAACGAACACCTCTGTTTCTAGCATGCTGGAATGGGCATCTAGAGGTGGTCAAGCTCCTGATTGAACAACAAGCTGAGGTGGACGTGAAGACGACTGATGGACGGACACCACTTCATGGAGCCGCATGGAATGGCCATCTGGAGGTGGTCAAGTTCCTGGTTAAACAACAAGCCGAGATGAATGTGAAGACAACTGAGGGACGGACACCACTTTATGAAGCACTGACAAAATCAAAAATTGATATAAACTCTAAGGACGCATTTTACAGAACACCCATTCATCTCGCCATCAGCCACGGTCAATTTTCTATAGCTAGGCTCCTTTTTGAGCACGCATCGAATCCTTCCATTCTTGATGGTTACGGTAAAAGTGCTCTGGACTGGGCTTGCATGAACCCGAACATATTCACTCTGATGTGGGAATGGCGTTCCATTTATATACCCACTTCCCAAATGATGCAAATCCAATCCTTACACCAATCTATTCGTCAATTGTCAGAGCGTCTGCTCGAAACCAAGCTGAAAGGAACATCTCCTGGCTTTTACGAACTGGGCCATTGTCTAATGTTTCTACAAGAGTTCGAGCAGGCCAACTTTAGCTTTCAGCAGCAAGTTGTTGAGGTAAACGTTGACGGCAGCCTTGTCCACGCGGCCTGTTGTAACATCTGTAACAAGTCATGCATAGTGGGATCTCGCTTCGTTTGCAAGATGTGTCCTGATGTTGATTTATGTACTGACTGCATGCAACAGTATCCTCAAGTGGATAAACTGCGAGCTTGTCAGAATCATGAATTTCTTGAAGTATCTTGCCCAAATCCTCCCATCCTGGAGACCAAGAGCATCAAAATAATCTCTAATGACGTTGAAGAATGGTTGAGACGACTTGCGGCGCGTTACCCCGAGTAGGAACCTTCACACACACAAGAAGAAACTCTGAATGGTCACGCATTTAAATCGAAGTCATTGAAAAAAATAGTCGACGTCGCTTTCGAAGAGCGCACATTGAAGCTCTCCCAGCGCCTAATCCAAATGGAGCGCTGTGAGTCTTTCCAAAATGGCTCTCAAAGCTGGTATCGTTCGTCGATTTCTCGGTGTTGTTCTCAGACAGCTGAGACGGGCAGCGCTGTTCGGGTAGTTAAGCTACGGTCAAGGTGAGGATTTGCCGCGCTCATTGCCGATATCCCTTTGGGATAGCTGGGACTGACGATGATTAGCGAGTTCGTCAGACACGCGTGAATCTTGTGGACCTCGTGGATACTTGTTAGCAAACGTCTTGCCACTGGACCACGGGGCCGGTTGCTTTGTGATCTGTCCTGACTAGGTTGAGGATTATAAGTCAAAAACGTTATGACAAGAGATCAGGAGGAGACAAAATACGTGACAAGTGCAACATTTAGTAGGACCCTTGATAAAAGAATGGTTGAAAATAAATAACGATGATATAGCCATCTTCTGCGTCATGTTTCTATCAAATATATTCCATGACTGTCAGTGAAAACGAAATACAATAGTACAGGCTCAGACGTTGGATGGCGAACACGATCCAACAGGTCCAAGGAGATAAAATATATGGCATGCCTGCCAGAGTTGAATAAGGGTGGACAAGGTGTTGGATCAGAATGCAGCTTGGTATTTACGGTTATACAACACAGAGGGTTTAAGATTCATCGGACTTGAGATGTTTGATTTGGGATGGAAGTGGTGTGTTTGGTCCTGCCTCAGACCCGAACAAAAATTTCTTATTCGCAAAAACGGGCATGAGAAGAGCAGTCAGAATAGAGCTTGAATGAAATCTTCCAAGACCGGTAGTTACCCGGTCAGGGTTGCAGTTCTACATGACAAAGGACTCTGGAAATGGGGATGTAGTGTTGATCCATCTCAAAGCCTCATGATAGGTCAAACCAGTGTATCCATCAATTCAAATCAGTCAATTTGAGGCCTCGGATTGAATTGATTACATAATCAGCGCCCTCGAACTGACTGATTTGACTGATCTGACAATTCAGTCAATTTGTATGGATATACGCTATTTCGACTTCGACTTGATGCGGTTCTCTTTTAAGTAGACGCGTACTCTTCCGTAAGGGAGGGCGGGCACTCGATTCTTGAGTGAGATGTACTCAAAAGGTCAGTCAAACGGCCAAACGTTTTTCGAAACACTTACCGCCAGTCTTCTCCGTCTCCCGCTTCCGCTTGGGCATAACGTGTTGCTGTAAGTTTTCGAGCAAGTAGTAGGAGTCAGCCGTCCATATAGCCCCTAATGGATGGATGGATGGATGGATGGATAGATGGATGGATGCGAAGGGCGCTAAGGCTAAAAGTTTAGCGTAGCTGAGTCGGCTTGCGATCAAGTTAACTTTTGCCTGCCAAAACTACCCACTATTGGCCAATTGCCTTCCGTTTTTTGTTCTTTAGAGTTGATGCCCTGTTGAAATCAAGTCGTAACGAATTAACGAGATCCACAACCGCATGTTTCAGGGATCTGTTGCAGGGAAGTTAGGCAGGGAGCAGCAAGAGGTCGGAATATTGCTCCGACATGGACAGGGACACCTGAATTAATTAGGACAAGAAAACATTCGCCGAGACTGGCAACGTTGGTTTTACTCCGAACCGGACCTTTAATATGATGTGGATCACATTTGGCCTATTTCATGAGCTTATATATAATCACGACTAGAAATGTCGGGTAGTTGGTTATGTATAACACGGATACCACAGATTACATGTGAAGAAACGGAACCTGGCTGGTCTCAAGATGATTTTCGTATTCCAACAGTGTCACCCCTCCTGACTGCCTGAGGTAGCACTACAAAGACCCCCGGTTATTCTCCTGTGACGCCGCCGTGTGCAGAAGCCCGATTAGGATTGCGGTTCTGTGGAAATGATTGGATGGCGGAAGTGTGATTGCAACGGCATACCCTGCATAAATCTCGTAACCCACCAAACTGTTCAATTTGCTAGCGAAGCATTCCACCTATTGGCTCTATCACGCGCCTCAATTGTGTCTTGTTGAAGTCGTTCTGGGCCTTCTTGATCGCTGCTGCGCCGCCATCGAGTGAAATGGCCAGTACAGCGGTTTCTGCATCATTGATCCTGTCGCGACGTCACGTCAGCTAATACGGGTCTCTGAGGATCGACATGTCAGAGAAAAGACCACGACGCAGGATCCCGCCACGATGTTGCCGGTGCCTCAGGCAAGGGAGGTGTTGATCGAGGAGTTCCATGGATGCCGATGGAGACGCCATCACATGGACCGCCTCAACAGCCAGGCTAGCGGTTGGATCGACTGGCCGGGGAAGCAACAAATGAGCTGCGCGACCTTCCCACGGCCATGCTATGGTTTCAGATAGGCAGTATCGCTTCTCGTAACTGTACATAGCGCGGCGACCGGCTGCGGCACCCTGTCCAAGGTGGTTCAAGGCCCCTCGCTGATTGGCTTCGTCGCAATGTCAGTTGGCCAGAGGCACTATGCGAGGGACGAAGAAGTGGTGCCACGGTACTATCGACGGCTGCGGTATTTTTTTGGTTGGCAGGGTGGTCTCGGGGACAAATAGTTTGCGCCGCTCGTGTTAACGGCGAAGCGAGCGGTGGTGAGGGTGGCAATAGTGTCGAACCTGGCATCACCGCGGGGCCGGAGACGCCTGGCCCGGGCGCTAGATAAGCTTGTCGACGCCATCGTCAGTATCATCGGTTTGACGTAGGATAAATCGGCGAATCACGAGGGTAGAACCCTGGCCGACATGGAGCTGATGTCAGCCCGCGGCAGCTAGGAATGCCAGCCCCGAGGGCGCAGCTGCCAGCTGACACAGTCAGGGGACGGACGGACAAAGCGGCGTGATGGTCACTGAAGGTCGCATACAGAGTAGACGCTGTCTTGGTCGGGGGGCGGTGACCAATATATAGACGAGCGCCACGGCGATCGCCGAAAGATAAAAGCGGCAAGCGGTCACGGGCGGCTCGTGACCCGATGCGGTCTGGACACCCCCGGCACCCTGACGCAGAGTACGGAGTAGCATTGCAGCCGCCAAAGATTCGGTCTGTACGGAGTAGCTGGTGGGACCACATTGAGCAAAGCTAGCATAGAGACACCGCGATACGGAGTACCGTAGAAGTCCTTGTCCTGTATCAGTTGGTTCGTTGTTTTCATCTTCCAGGGCTACTGGTTGTGAAGTGTTTAGGTGAAGAGAGTTCGACGCACAAGACGCACAAGACACCACTCCAACCATCCGGTCAGGAATCGATCTTTTATATCCAGCTTTCACGGATTTGACTTGGGCTTTGGCTTCCTAACAACCACTTTCGAGCCCTCCAAGACCCAACCGATGTTCTCTATCTTCACTAGCTCTTCCCAGCTCATTTCGGCACCTGTGGCGCTCTGCAATACCCATTCCAGGTCACAGCTCAAGTAAGCTCTACTCAGAGCTTTCAAGCTGTTCCGTCTCAAGCTGGGCACGCTCCATTGCATCAAAGCCCTGACATACCCGTCGACATTTCTCCTTACACGCCAGAATGCAACCCAGTTGCTGGTAACAACAGCTCTAATAATCTCATCAACGTTTCTACTCCTGTAATCTTTTTGCAATCTGCTATTCGATCTCAAGGAAAACGCGCTCGCTAATTCCTGCTGACGACAAGCCAAGTCGAGTATCAGGTAGGTTGTCATTTCTGAAAGCTCGGGGGCAGGCAGGGGGGATCGTGGTGTGTGCAGAACGAATAACAGATGCATTAATGGTGGATGGTACGATGGGGGATGAAATGCGAGGATTGCAAGACGAACGCAAAAAACATGAACGCGTTGGGAGAAGATGGGTGATGGAGCGGAAGAGGATGTTGCTAGCAGTGCTTCTCTTAGTTTTCGTAATGCCAGGAGTATGATCGATAGCTCCTGTGCAGGCGGAGGAGGCGTTGAAGGGGCGCCACCCTGAAGAGGTGAAGAAGAGACTCGTTTGGGTGGAGAAGGGGTGATTGGTCGGCCCTGGCCTTGGAGCACGGGAGCAACAGGCGGATTTCGAGCCGGGTCGGACGAAGCGGAGACATCGTCTTCGAGCGAGAGGGAGGCGAAGGCGGACTCCATGTCAGTGGAATGATGAGTACAGAACTGCATGTACCGGGCGACGATCTTGTTGTAGAATGACTCTTGAACTTTGACATCCAATAGTCTTGTCTACGCTCAGCTAAGCTCTATGCTGCATCGATGAGCCCCACCTTGTATCCCCCTTCGATACGAAGCCCATACTCTGAAGAGGATCATGCTTCGCCGGCTTGAGCCTCTCCCACGGTGTTGAGGACTTGCGGGTGAGCTGAGGGGTTGTAGCCATCATTGGGGGTGAACTTCACTAGATTGAAGTTAAAGCATCATCTCCATGTAGAGCACGGGCTCGTGAAAAGAGAGACATGCGAGCCTCTGCGAGAAGGTAAGAGTCTCACACCAGTTACAGAAGCGAATCTGGGTCTGAAATAGTAAGCTTTAATGAGCCGCAATGAGGGTTGGGGCAATCGAAAGTACAACTGAAAACATCACATCACCTCTCAAGTGCCAAGTCAACGGCCCGAGCCGTCTGGATCGATTGTGAATATTGAACTGGATAATTTCTCTTTGACAGAGCCAATCTGACACTAGGTTGCTGCTATTGCGCCTGTAAAGCCAGAATTAAAAGAGATACATCAATGGACAATGACAAATCTGCTTCCCTAGATAAGGACAACTCGAGCGAAACATCTGAACAGTGGTATTCGCTAGTGCAATGGGATGAGGTGCCTCATTGGCAACAGGATAACCATTACATTCACGGCAGTTATAGGAGACCATCCGGCTCATATCACAGATCGTTAGGGAGCCTGTTTTATATTCATAACGAAACCGTGAATATCTATACCCATCTGCTTCCAGCATTGGCAGCTCCTCCCACCGCCTTAGCTCTCTACAAGATCTTACAGCCTCGATATGTGCAAGCCACGACCCGCGATGTCCTTGCCTTCAGCTGCTTCTTTCTCGGTGCTGCCATCTGCTTAGGCATGAGTGCGACTTATCACCTCATCTCCAACCACTCCCCAGCGGTAAACAAGTTTGGCAACCAGCTGGATTATGTTGGCATTGTACTTCTCATTAGTGGCTCCTTCGTCCCTAGCATCTACTATGGATTCTGGTGCGACACAACCTTGCAAAGGTTTTACTGGACTATGGTGCGTCGAGTTTGCATGGGTTTGCGAATCTAATGCTGACATGATCTAGATATGCTCTCTTGGAGCAGGCTGTACCTCGATCTCGGTAATGTCGAGATTTCGGACGCCGATGTGGAGGCCATTCAGAGCTGGCATGTTCGTGTTGATGGGCTCCTCCGCAGTCTTTCCAGTACTGCATGGTCTTCGACTGTACGGAGCATCACAAATGATGAGGCAAATCGGTCTTTCTTGGCTTGTCTTGCAAGGTGGGTTATACATTCTAGGGGCTGCTGTTTATGCGGTAGGTGTCGTCAAGTGATGCCAGTAATATCCCAAAAGTGACGTGATAGGTAGGCGCGCGTGCCTGAGAAATGGTCTCCTGGAAGATACGACATCCTAGGTAACTCACATCAGATCTTTCATGTACTGGTGGTCCTTGCTGTTGTCTCACACCTCACTGGCCTGCTCAAAGCATTCGATTACCGCCATGGTCTCCAGGGTGGAATCTGCTTCTAGGTAAGATTACACGTCCTTCCATGGCTTCCCAGCGAAGTGCCAAGGAGCTAAAAATGTCCCAGGCGGAGTTTTGATCAGCCTGACAAGGTAAAGAAATTCAGCCGCGTGTCGAGCGGTTCCGAGGCTAGTATTCTGCAGGATCTCGCCTAAAGGTGTTGCTGAGATGTCTCAATAGCAGTCGAAGGAACATCTGAAATCGGGACCTGTGTTAATGAAAGCCGACTGGGCTTCAAGCGCGTAGAGGCAGTAAATTCTAGCATGATTGCGCGTGTTGGGGTATGGCCATCTTAAAACAGCACATGCAATCAAACGTCTCAAACCAATGATCAGGCGTCAGTCTGCAGGCCAAGACGTACTCGTACCGTCTGCTACTAGTATCGAACGGTGCCGATAATCTGCAGAAAGACTATCAATCAATCCAGGCCTGCTGCAGCTTACATTTGGTTCCGACAATCGACCCTGTGCCGGGAAATCCGTTCTCCCTCCTACGAATAGTGTGGGAGCCGTGCAAATCATCGAATCGAGATCTGATCGTGAATCAGAAGCACCTTGAGTGTGCCATTCTGACGCAGAGAAAGCGCCGTGGCGCGCAGCTTCTGGAAGGATTTTCAATCAACTCTACGAGTCATTTGTGGATAGGACATAGGTAGTGCAACAATGAGCCTTCCTCTGGTACTTGAAAGTGCGACCAAAGCATAGGGACAAATGAAGGCGAAGGGGATCAACGATGGGCCAATTGCCAGTCCAGCGCCTAGGATCGATAAGAGCCGTGTGCCAATCATCCTATCAGGTTGTCGCATCCCAAGCCTACCCACTTGTCTATCTCTTAGCACAGCCAGCGGCTAGCGGCGAGGCAGCACTACCAATCATGTTTCTGAGTGGTACAACGTTCATTGGCAGGGTCCGTCATCCTTCATGTCCATTTCCTTGCGCAATCTTTGAGTGGGCCACTACCATGGAGTAACCAGTCACCAGAGTCAGGTCACGCAAACCTGTCCTTCATTGCCAAGGCATGGCCATCGCTTGTCAAGGATTCATGATGTCGTAGTAAAGAAAATTGGTTGGTCTATCACACTAGAGCATGTTTGGTACGACAGCCCCACACCAAAAAGGTTCAGCTATCAGAGCCTCGGCCACGAGAAGTCGATCTCGGTGGTCCTTCCAGAACTACGTAGTACTAAGCCCCAATAATTTGTACGTGGTACCTACTACGCACTCAGTTGCAGGGTGGCTAGGGGAAAGCCTCAGTGCGGCAACAATTATACACGAGCGAAATGCTGGGCTTCTCGGTGCGAAGTGATGATTGAACAAACATCCTCAACAGTGCCCCAATTACCCAGATGACCAAAAGGACCCTGCACAGGTTGTAGAACACTCTCATTTGCCGGACGGAAAAAATGCAAGCAAGGCTTTCCAGTTGTACGCGACACTGCGACGCTACTCATACACACACATCTCTCCTTTCTTGCCGCCAAGCTTGTGTCAGGCTGCCTTTTATCCATTATCAATCCTTTAATACGGAGTAACTAGTTGGCACTGCGAAATACTACGCACTACGCACTACGCACCACACCACATTTAATGAAACTTACCGGCAAGGCAGATTGTGCTATCAAGTACTGAAGTCATCACTTGTGCAAGTACCAATCAAAATGACACTAGTAAACCATTCTCAGGTCATAGCTTCTGACATCCAATCAATTCGACCTATGAGCATCTTGTGGTGTAACGGCAAGTCATCATCCCAACCTGATCCAGTGCTGAGGTACGGAGCACATCAATGATACGAGATTCAACAGCAACGTGGCAGTCCACGCCGAATCACGTGGGTTAGGCGCCTCAACAGCAAACTCCGGCACTTCGGCTGAACTAAGTGGTGCAGCTGTTAAACGTGTCTACTTTTCAATCGCAGGAAGCAAAACGACGGGTATACGTAGTAGGCGTTAATATTTAGGACTACGTACTAGTACGCTGACTGACCCATGGAGTGATTACTACGTAGCCTCCGACGGGGCAAAACGCTCTGCTCTAACAGACTTAGCAGGCAAGATTCTTTCGAAAATCGTCCTCGTTTACTGCTTGTTGAGTACTTTACGTAATCTCGTGGCCCTTCCTGAGTTCCAAGACAGAGTACTGATCTACTAGTATCCGCAGATGCCGGCAATACATTTTAATTCAATTTTAACTCGGATGCATTCAACTCCCCGAGCAGTAACTTACGCAGTAGCACACAGAAGCTGATTGGATTGGTCGCAAGCTTCAATCCTTCCCATCCATCAGGCGCAAACCTCAGCCCTGATTTGGTGACCAGGAGCTACTCTGGCCAAAGGTTCAATGCTGCAACCCAGCACATTGGCTTTCCATGGATTGACAGGTGGCACCAAAAGACGAAACCTTGCCAACAGAGGTCGATCAGAAGCCGGTGCCACAAGGTTTTGGCAATGATGCAGACTTGCCGCTGTGAGACTGCGTATTTCTGAGCCTGGCTACAGATTCAAGCGGCTTGGGGCTTGAGTCACCAAGTCACTCGACTGCAATCCTTAGATCAGGGTTGTCTCGTGTGAGGCAGGTCCCTCCGCTTAACCATTCATGATTTGGTTGCTTCTGACTACGGCCAAACTACATATTGGTACTCTTAGTGAACCAATAGTAACATCTTAATCTGAGGATCTTCCCTGCCTTGTTTGACAGCATGCAGAGCTCGGGCCAGAACTTACTCTGAGCGAAAATGCCTCGCCGCTGAAAAGCCCCCCCGGCTGCCAATTTCTGTGTTACATTTGGTGGTGGCATGCTCAAAATGTCTGATGTGGCGGGACCTCGTCACCGAAGGGGCTTTAGTGTGAGGGGCCAGTGGTGTGCGCCATGCATGAAGCCCCCGTCAGCTCCAATGGGGCGAGGTATTTGCCCCAACGGCAGATGCAATGCTGCCTGTGAGCTACCGAGCAGCACCACTCTCTCGGCTTCAAGTGCCCCAATCTAAAAAGAGATGGCGATCGGTCGTGATGATACCTGCGCCCAACCAACGTTGGCCGCGTCTATGTTTGTAGGAGCAGAGCACGCCTTGCTCCTTTTGGCCCACGGCCCTTGTCATCATCTCAATAAAATCGTCAACCCTGACCGGGCCCACCACGTTAGCCGTTTTTGTGGAACCCACCAACCGTCTTGCTATTCGCAGACTCACTGGTGCTCTTTTGCCCAAAAGCGCGTTCGTTTTCGCCCATGTCCCAATTCGTTGCATCCCAATATTTTATCTCCAATTTGCACCCTATATCCATTTGACGACCTCCATCCCACGTCCTTCATCATCTCGCCAAACCCCATCTCCTATTCTTCTCACGACCTGTCCATTTCCTCTTCGTTTCCTCCGCCCACCTTTGGTCTTTCCTTTACCAACCTGGACTGTCGATCCCACCTGTGTTTCTGGACCCGACTTCCCTTAGGAGGACCTTTTACCATTCCGCCAGACCGGGTCTTCTCTCCCCAGGCAACTCTCTCAGTTCCATTTTGTTGGCTTTCCTCACGATCTCTCTGCTTGTACTCGGTACTTTTGGGCTCCCCCAATAATGCTAGCGACACCACCACCATCGCCTTCATACAGCGCATCAGTGGCGCCTGAGAATCGACTTGGGTGTCTGTTAGCCGGCCGGCTAGAGCTGACCTCGATACTTGGTATTGGAGCATATGGCGTCGTCTACACCGCCATCGACATCCACACAAATATCCCATACGCGGTCAAAGCCCTTACCAAAACCGGACTCAACGCCAGGCAGAGGAGATTCCAGCAGCGAGAGATCAAGTTGCATCACAAAGCCAGCCAGCACCCAAATGTGGTCTCACTCGTGAGAATACTGGACAACCCTGACTGTACTTATGTTGTAATCGAGTTTTGTCCCGAAGGCGACCTTTTCTCCAATATCACAGAAAGAGGGCAGTTTGTTGGTAACGATGCTCAAGCCAAACATGCGTTCCTCCAAGTTCTGGATGCTGTTCGATATTGCCATTCCGTTGGAATCTACCACCGGGACTTGAAGCCCGAGAACATTCTGGTCACTGACCAGGGCAATACTGTTAAACTTGCGGACTTCGGCTTGGCAACCACCGAGCAGTTCACGTCAGACTTTGGCTGCGGCTCAACTTTCTACATGTCGCCAGGTAATACTATCCCCCAAAGCTGGTTTGGTACCCCGTCTAATATTTGCTTAGAATGTCAACAATCTGCATCCAGGTCTTCCTACTGTTACGAATCAGCGCCGAACGATGTTTGGAGTCTGGGAGTAATCCTAATCAATCTCACCTGTGGCCGCAACCCATGGAAACGAGCTTCACCCGAGGACTCTACTTTTCGCGCATATCTGCAGGATGCAAATTTTCTCCGGTCGATCTTGCCATTGTCAGCAGAACTTGATTCCATCCTGCGCCGCGTGTTTGAGTGTGACCCGGCGAAGAGGATCTCTCTCCAGGAACTCCGGGACTTGATTGTCGCCTGTCCAAGGCTGACTACAAGTGCCTACGACACCTTACCACCAAGCCCGGTTGTTCAGCCCTACGACGCTCTCGACCCTCACGAATGTGCAAACCTTGCACTTCCATCATCGCCTCCAATTTCGCCACGACCTCATTATTGCCGTACCCAGTCCTCCGTCTGCTCTCTACTCGATCCTACGTCCAAGCAGAGCTCTCTTTGTTCCTCTTCTTCCGATGGATCGGAGTATCATTTTGACTCTCATTGTCCAGAACAGACCCCGTTTGTGGCACCACCTTTCAACTTCTATGGCAACGTAATACCTTATTCTGATGTGGACGAGAAGTCTTTTTGCCATCAACAAACTTTCACTCCAACTTTAGTTCCAGCATATTAATTTCAGCATGTACTTGTCGACTTCTACTCTCCCGCAAGTCCCATTCTGGCAGTTACAGGAGTTGCTCACGATTCGTTTTTGCACGGCGCATGGATATTTACTGGAATAAACCAAACGATACCCTTTGCCCGGATATGTACCAGGAACACTAGAAGGCACGGAGTTTCACTACCAATACCTCTTCCTTTTGGCCAAATTTGGGCGGCCAACAATTCGATCTTGATTTTGTGGATGATGGGCGAAAGATTCCGAAATAGCTGCATAGACGATCGTTTTAGCGAAAGTGAATGCTTGTGGGTTGTTTCATTGGCGACTTTGCCAGGTGTCCTTTTTATCTTACCCCAACCCAAGTGCTGGACTGGTGGTATTCAACGGGCGTGACGGTATACAAACTTACTACATCTACGGTGTTGGGGATCTTTATCTCCCAATGTATTCGACCAGGCTCTATTCGACTCGTCTTGACGGCTCAAATCTTTGGCCAGCGAATTGCTTCCACCCGAAAACTCCAAACCATGGCTGGCACCACATTATATGTATATAGCACTCTTCCAGAGCCACTCCTTTGATTGAAATGATAATCTAGTGGTATCAAAATGGAAATAGTAGAGGATATAGAGGACTTTGTCAAGTCCCTCATCATTCCTAAAACCAGAACGATTTTACCTGACTTGTGTCTCTCATCCTACGCTTTCCCTGGTTAATTCTTGTCATGGACCGTATGAAGGTGTAGTTTCCAAGTGAAAAAGAGTCGTAGGAATTTGAAGCAATCACATGACCCTTCAATGTAAACAGCTGTCAACTCTCACCAAATGGTTACTCCTTTCCTGCTCAGCCCTCCAACTTTCAATCATGCACCTCAGTCATGCATCTTCCCGTTCTGCAGTGACACACACCCGTGTTGCCAACGTCCCACCACACCAGAGTACACTCTGATTGATAGCTTCGGCCTGCCTCACTCATTTGACACATTTGTGTGGCCGATTTTCCCTGGACAAAGCTAAAAGGGCCATGCTCAGAAATATGGCAGGGGATACGGGTTCCAGCCTAACGCCTCCCAGCACAGTTGGCACTTCTATTTGATCACTGCAGTAGCGGTGCATAGGACGGGGATTCTTACACGATGTGGTCTGTGCACAAAGGATTACGCAGCTTCTCTCCAGTCTCCCTTGTTCCATGTTGTTTTAGCCTCTGCCAACATTGGGCGGGCGAATGATGATTGCAATTCTCACACCCACCATGCTAATGAGGAATGGAGAACGTACCACCTGACCATTCATGTGCATGGATATCAGGTCCGATAATGTATGCTCAAGCATTTTTGAGGGAAAGTGCTTTGCCAGCGACCGCTTCTTCTTGGGCGTATGCCCCCAAGACTGACGAAGCTCTTGCATCATTATTCGTGATGCATCGCCTGCCCGTGTGATCCAAGAAGTCAGATCCACGATGTCACATCCGCATCAGACTGACTGAGGTGACGGGCGCCCGGAGCTGGATTGAGCGAAGGACGACGGCCAGCGGCGTTGGCCTGCCAGTGCTGCAAGCCGAGGCGCTGGACTGGGCAAGCTGCAGCATATCAGCGGCACATTTCTCGGAGGGTATGTACGTTCTTTCCGGCTGTTTCAGCTCGTATGCCGGCTGCCTTTGCACCAAAAGGCGAAATTTTATCTCTTGCAAGTAGCATAAATGTGGCTTGCTCGCTTACGGGCCTTGTTACGAGGTCCATTGCGGTGATCCATTCGAAGTCACGGGCAGCAACGAGGTTTTCGCCCCGGCCTCAGCTTGCCAGGCTGGATCTGCCCAGCTGCCCTTTGCTGTGGTATGCATCCGGACTTCTGTCCAATTAGGCGCTTCGGTTGCCTCTTACGGAAAAGTGCTGGTAGCAAGCCCATCAAGTACAGAATCTGGCAAGTTACGTTTCCTCTATGCAATGCGCCCATATTCCTTTCGACTAGTTATTGGAGTAGTCTCAGAACACTTCGCCTCTGACTTCTGTTGCGGATTGGTCACGGTACGAAAGCCCAGTTCCTTACCGCCATAGATACCTGCGAAGTCCTTTCATCACAAGGCAACCCCGATGGAGCTGAGGGTAGCTCCCACGGTTCAGATCTGAAGTGAGAGGATCGACAAGTTGTGTTTTGATGGTTTACAGTTCCCGATTTGCGTCCGGTGAGGTGTAGCATTCTGAAAGTCCCCAATCTTGCCCAACCCCGGCTACGTTACTCCATGCCATGCAGAGTCTCAGGTACAAGTCGTGCATTTCTACCTGCGTCTGTTGCTGAAACAGCTTATCGGAACTCCTGGACATCGCGTCTTGTGTCTCGGGTATATTCCGGACTGCTCGGATTCTATGACCTTCGATCATCGTACCACCCGCACAGACGTGATGGGTACACTACGTTGCCTCGGCCCATTATGCCTCTCATAATCTTCAACCTCTGAACCAATTACACTACCATCAAGTCAGTTCGATTAAGGCACACGAGAACTTTACTAGCAGCCTTACTTAGAGAGCCGGCAGGCTGGTGTCGAGTACTATGCCGCACGTCTCGACTCCATGTCGACTTCTACTTTGTGCAAGGCAACCTCTGAGACATCGAGAACCGTTTCTATCTACCCAATCCACAGTCACGTTCGTGCTACAATACCAGGTGAGGCCATTGAGTCAGGTTCAGTTAGTAGATGCATGTTCAGGTCGGCAGTCGAGCTTATGGGCTGCCGCCTTTCTTACTACCACCTTTGGAACTCGAACTTCCCACATCACAGGCATGCCCCTTACTCATCTGAGTATTGGAAGTGGCCGGGTGTCACCGATCATTCGTTGCCTCTTGCACTGCGAAAGAGAATAGTCGTTTGAAGTGCAAATTTGCATCTGCTGCGACATTGAGAATAATTGAAAGTTTAAAGAGCTTGAAAATGGGAAGCCTACCAACCTGGTTGAACCGAGGCCCATTCTGAGAGGAACTTGTTGCGTTAGGTCATCTTCCGACCTCTACTATTTTCAGACGTCCTTTAGTACGTGCCCCATATCTTCGATCATGCCAGCGGAAAGAACAATCAGCCTCCAAAATGCCTTTTGCCTGCAAAGAGCTTGATAACCCAAGTGTCAATTTTCGGAGATGTTTCACGGAGCGAGTGCATTAAGAAGTTTCTGTCTCTGACGATTAAGGGCTCTCCATCTTGTGATCAAGGGAGATTCTACTCTATTCCATCATATCGCGTTCTTCCTCCGTTACTGTTTCCATATTAAACAGGCTCATGCACTGCCACCTATGGAGATTGTCCCCACAAGGCACTTATCATCCATGAGAGCAGGCAGCAAGCTCGCATGATCGAGTGAAAGGCCTGTGTTGATGACGTTCCCCACAATGCGGTAGGAGCCCATATCTCAGCATGTAGGGGAGCGTTATTGCTAACGCATTTGATATCAGCTGCAAAGGAGAGTAGTCCCTTATTTAAGCCATTAGAAGATTCTACAGATATAGTACTTCAAGGTGTCTGTGATTCCCTAACTCAAGGTGGTTCTAACCTAGCAGTGATAGGTCTCTTGCATCAAGACATCCAATAACTCGCATCATGTGTCAGAACGTCCCAACTGGAACTTTCCGGCTCTCCCTGGAAGAACACCAGTAGAGCTCAAACCTCATATTACTCCATAATAAACCCATTCTTCGAAGACAGAATTCTTCTCACCATCCCTTCCTATGGTGGAACCCAAAACTCATTACCACGTTTGCGGGCAGGATGGACGGAAAGAAGCTGCGATAAGTTTGGGTGCCCCTTTGCCTACACTTCCGTCTAACCCATGACAAAGCTGCCCAAGATCAGCATCCTTTCTCGTCTCCGGCTCGATTCTGCCTCTCGAAGCCAAATTATCCATTCTCTTCAGCACGGCTGCAAAGCTTTTGTAACCCCAATTTCGCCAGGCTTTCACGCCTGTACATGGTGTTGGCTCAATCGAGAAATCTGTTACTGCGACAGCAATTGGCCAATTCCTCAATGAAGGGCAACCTCATGTTGGAAACTGCTTTGGAAAGCATTCTAGCAGATTGATAGGCGTCGAGTCTGACAGTGACTCAACAGGGAACCGTTATGGACCTTTTCCCTCGATCTTTTCCCCAAGACTTGTTGTTGCAAAGCCTAGCAATTGGTGGTAAGGAGCAGCAGACGGTCGTTCTACTTCCATTGAAAATGACAACACCGTCTCTCGAGTGGCAGAACCTTCTATATCATTTCATGGACAGAAGGTTTATAGCAACTCTTCTCATATCTCTTTCTCCAACCAAGAGCACGGGTCGGGAGGATGATGGGACTAGCTCACAGGGTATTTCGAGCTCTGTATATGCTCTATTGCACTGTTCGCTTGGGACTCTCCGTATCTTAGAGTTCGGCGAGCATTTTCAATCAAAGCCGCAAATGAAGCACGTTGGGGATGCAATTCCCACCCCATACCTTCATTACTAAGTCTCTGCTTCGATCTCCCCACGCTCTTGACCACTTTCAAACGAGTTACCATGGACCACCATGAGAACAGTTACCACTAGTATCCTCACCACAAAAGTGCCAACCATCACATCCGGCGGTGATCAACAACTGTCACGTGCATTCACGGAGCCTTACTCGTTATATCAGCTTCCCACTACTTCCGGGGTTGACAAATGCCTTGTTTTCCTTACCAACTGGGTCGGCTTTGCGGATCCTGAAAGTGGAGTTGGCCATGTTTCTACTAGAAACACCTTAGGGACAGCCCTGAGCGTATCGATATCCTGCAATATATCCGAGACGCTATCCTACCGAACGAACACTGCGATTCAGAGTTTCAAAGGCGTTGGAAGAGAGCAGGCACAAACATCGCTTACTTAGGTCTTTGGATATTTTGGCAGCAAATTGCACCTGAAGGCCTTGACTCGCAGCTTCAGAAGCTCGTTACCATTAATTTGATGTCCGTTATCGCCACGGTTGTTCCAAATCATCTTCCAACGGAATTTTCTGCCACAAGTTGAGAGTCGTTATTGGCTGCAAGATGGTTCCATTTTAGTGGACCGAATATGCTTCCATACACTACGCGTGTCAAGTGGAAACTTACTTCTCAACATTCATGTTGAAGCCGTGATTCGTTATGGACATAATGGTTCATGAATTCTTGACGCCATCCTCGGTAGTGCAGCAGGCAAGTCTTCTCTTGGACAACATCAGTTGGTAAGCAAGGCAATCTTTAAGATGGTCTTTTTATCTATTCGAATATAGCACGTATTCGCTGTAACGTGCCCCTTGCGACCAGCCTTTCACTTGCACACTCTACCTTGTAACCAATGGTAGAACACATTATGACCAAGGGGCATCAGCTGAGAAATCTATCTCGTCCAGTATCTGCTGAGTTCAAAGATGAATCTTCTCCGGCTACAAACCTTCACCACCGGGGAAGCTACGAAGGAATGCAACCCGAGGAGATGCATTCGAAGCCCGATATCTCTATTGATGCTTCCACAAGGCGATAACGACAGTCCGCAAGCGTTTCTCTAGCATGACAGAGTCTGGCGAACACATATTGGATGCACGAGCTGATCAATTCTTTGATCTCGTTGCTTGCTTTGGCTGGACTGTTTGCCATCCTGGGAAGTTTCAACGCTCGTGCTCGTCCGCAATGGCCAGATTACATATCGATCGACACTTTGGTGGCCATTATGACAGCCATCCTGGAAGCCTCCTTGGTGTTACCCGTCACTGAAGGCATTTTTAAATTTATATGGCAATGGCTTACCAAGCGGCAGCCGTTGATCGATGTCAGCTACTTAACTGTGCAAGTCGAGGGTCATGGGGATCTTTCCTGTTTCTATTCAATCTTAGACGACATTTGCCCGCTACCTCTGGTGCAGTCAATACGATACTTATGCGCTTTAGCAATCGATCCTTTCTCGCAGTAGGTCCAGAAACTGCCTCTAATCGCTTGCTTCAGCAACTGCTCGGATAGCTTGGACGAACAATTACAGCACCGCGGGTCTTCACGCTACTGGTGGAATCAGTTCTTTAGACAGCGCCATGACACCGTCGATCTATAATGGACTCTAATCTTCAGCCGAGAACGCTTCGTCCCTCGTATTTGTTACGTGTCCAGCGGGGGACTATACCTTTACATCAGACAACGGTGCATCCTACTCTCCAATTCTTATATGTCAAAAGTCGCAGAATATCTCGAAATACATTTCCAATTACTCAGACCCGTTTTAAAACCACACCCTACCGAACGGAACAAACCTCTGGAGTGGTTACATGCTGAGCTCCATTGTTGTCGACTATGAGTACACAGTCAATTACGGTGCAGAAGATATGATAGATATGTTATTCACATTCGAAGCTTTGATATACTGACCAGGCACTACTTCATCCCTTGTCGAGCTCTTTGGTATACGGAGTTCACTCTACCCATGTATCAAGACCTGGGGAGCCAATATAACCCTTGACAAGCTCACAGAAACAGAGATTGCAAGCTTTCCGATGAAACACAGTAATATCTATGATCGATTCATTTATTCTACCAAAAACACCCTGCCCGACGGCACCTGGCAAGCCTGCAACGCCACATCTCAAATAGCCAAAACAAATGCTGTCTGGATTACACAAGATGGCAGAAACCCAAAGCAGACATCTATCGAGACAATTCTAAGGCCGAGAATGGCAAAACACCGCCTGACTGCGCTTCAACGTTCGGTTATGGCCCAGTGACGCGATTCCATGGTTTCTCAGTCACTTATTCAATACCAATAACAACCTCAGCATCCCCTACGGAATACCACCCGGCCCCACCATAGGTGATCTTTGGCCGCAGAATCTCCACTTGAATGGCTCAGCAAACATGTCCCAAGACAATAAACACATGAAGGGCCTTGCGTCCTAGACGACAGCCACCATTCGTCCCCAACGATCCTGCACCAGGGTCATATACCAATCATGCAAGTGGTGTAGTCCTAGAGAATCAGCCTTCCATCCCACGTCCGCTGGGAATGGCCAGCTCTTTCAGCCTCGCTGGTCACTCTGCTCGATTATCTTCCTGGTTGCGACGATCATGTCGACTTCTGCATGACGACGCACAGACTCTGCAGATGCTTTCAAATTCAGCCGCTAGGCCTTTGAAGTTATCGCCACTGCCGCTGTTGTTTCACGGAGTAGAGCCCGGTACCCCGCCGGCTGCTGGATATTCTAGCAGTCTAACTGGCATGCAACCACCAGGGGAGACCGCTCTGATGTGCGACTCAGAATATCGCCCGTCGATAGGAGCTGATAGTTTCTGCGTGGCAAGAGCCAATGGGAGTAATATTCCAGGTGAAAGTGTGAGCATACTGTGGTCTCGTGGCCTTCTTCGGAATGGATTGCTTGCTTCGCAAGCCGGTCGGCTGTGCCAATCCCCACCTTGTCGCTGTGCCCAGGAATCCAATACAACCGGATTTTGATTTGTCGTTCTTGAGGACGCGGACGTGGTCAAGAGAGTGTCATAGGATGCTCTGGCCGGACTTGCACGCCGCGGTCGCGATCGCCCATATCGCTAATTTGCTGTCACTGATGATGGTGAATGTCTTTTTTCCAATTCAGTCTCCTCGAGTGTCTGATCCGTAGCTTCCTCCTGAATCGCCTCCACGGTACAATCGATGGCAGTCGGTTCGGCCGCGTGGACCGTCCCATTGTGGGCAGACCCGATACCGATCTGCCTGGTTAGCCGAGGGTGCAAGGAACGGACCAGTATCGTCACTGCTGCGCCGACTTTGGTGTCCATGGCGGACGCTTCAGAAGAATTGACATTTTCTGGGTTTTCCATGATTTCGGCGATTTCGGCGATTTCGTCTAGGGCTTTGGCCATGTCTTGTTCGATGGTGATCCGATCAAAAGCCGGTTTGCTCCACGGCTCCCCCGGGTTTGGGGTTAAGTATAGTAATGGTTTCCAGTAGTTCCGACCCAATTTCTATGGTTTTCATGACCTCATCCAAGGGGAATTTGTGGTTAGTCCCCTTCTTTTTGACCCGACATCTAATTCGGTCGACGATGTCTGCGAGTGGGTAGTCTGGGGGAGTGTGTACACCCTGGCGATCACGTCCTGTGCCCGCTGTATAAGTCTCAAATACGTTGGTAGGACATTGCATTCTATCTCTAGAGTCTTGGTCGCAACTGGTCAAAAGGCCGAAAGCGTACGAATGAGCAACGATCTTTGGACCGTGCTGAGGGTGCGAAAGGTGTCCCTTGTCTTTGCGAGGATTGTGCACACGGTCGGTGCGTGGTCCAGTTTAGGCAAGATAAATGCTTGGTAGACTTGTCGCATTTGCACAGGTCGGAGGTGCCTTAATCCACTCAACCATACGGAGTATGGTGGTCTTTGCTGCCCTCTTCACGGCCTGCTGCACGTGATCCATCCGTCTAGGCATATTGCGTACAGTTTGAATTGAACGGCCTGGGACCACTTGGCGGACACCTCATAGCAGGCCATTTTGTATGGGGATACCATGGTAAAATGATCATGCAACAAGTTACAAATACGACATTCTCCTATTCCCTAATTAAATTCCCTTGATACTACGCTTGCAGAGTATGTAGGCTGTGCGACCTCTGATTGGCTAGCTATGCTCTCTCTCAACTGTTTCATCTGTTTGAAGTCTTATCTCTTGTGTCACTGAATTGAGCCTCCTTTCTCATTAAGAATAGCGTTCCCGTAACTTGACGTAATGATTATGTTGCAGCCTTGGCAAAAGGAACATCAAAATTTTCAAAATGTATTGTGATCGACCTTCAATGTTAAGATGTAACTTCCATATGAGCCTTGCATTCGCTTAGATACATAACGAGATTGTAGCACATCTGCTGGGAGTCGGCTGAACAGAAGAGTAGTGTCTTCGCTAAAGCTGGCAGATTAGAGAAGGGTAAACGTAGAGGAAATGGATCACTAAGACGCATAAAGTGAGACAGGGCCAGGGGGTTTGACGCTGAGTGAGAACCGAACGCCGACTGTGAAATTTTCCTGCCTATAACAGAGCGGCAATGCTAACCTCATTTCCCATGTGGTAGTACAAGCCAGTACAAGTACCAGGTTACCAAGAAATAGAAGTTGAAGAAGCACAATCCGATCCCGAAGACGACGCAAATGTGCCAAGTTATCGAGACAAGGGCGGCACTGGGCAAGCACACTGTCTTCACCTACAATGGAGGGATGTCAACAAGAACAAACTACGAAGACTCGCCAAGACCGGACCAGGGCATCTCCAGCCTGGGTTTGATGTGAAAGCAGACTTCGTCGAGAGGGCATCAGATACGTTTCCCCGCCCTGTCCTTAACTTTGGGAGGAGAATTTAGAGGTTCCCCCTATGCTCTTCTTCAGCTTTAGAACCTTCAGTGACATTTTCGCTTAGTTTCATGAACATGCCTTACGGTGCATTGAGATCCTCGCATGCAAGGGCAATCGATTATTCCTCACCATCGGGTCCGGCTGTATCAGCGTCTCCGCCTAGTGATGTCCTCGTGAAAACTCCTGGTGCTGATACTGCGTTTAGACCGGCAGCAGATTCGCCATCTGATTCTAGGCTTTCGAAAGCTCTGAAAGTCAGGCATGCGGTTGAGAGAGCTCGTCATTTCGTCCAAGGCAGGCACCACGAGCTCGTAAAATCAATGAACAAGCTCGAACGAGTGTACGGACAAGCCTGTAACATTATGAGGCCTGTTTGCTAATACGATAAAAAGGATCATGACAACATGGTTATACCAATATTGGCAGTTCTCACCCATAACGGCTAAGTATTGGGGCAAGGGCCCGCGAAACTGGACTGCCGGAACTCCTTGATCTGGGTAAGTACTTCGAAAAGCTCTCGATTTTTTCACCGAACACGCCAGGGGTGACGATTGCCAGCCCTAGTCACTACGCAGCCCCACGAAATCAGACGACTGGTATGTTGATGAATGTGGATGAAGAAGCTCCCACGTCTCTTTGCCATTGGGGTGTTCATCTGCGTAGCCTATTATTTGAATCAATCTCATTTCCGCCTCCTCAGGAGGATATTACGATGCGAGATAGATGGCAGATTGGCCTGATTGTTGGAAAAGCCGGACTTTATGGAAAGGCTTCGAAACGGTCTCGAAAGCAACGACTCCAGCAACGTTGACGCCGACGGCCTCCCCGTAGCTGTTACGAAGGTGCTCTACGCTGAGGAGGCCTGATGACCTTCTTGAGCAGGCTCTAGGTTTCAGCATCATGGGCCGCAATGTGGATTTACTCTTTGAGATGGTAGAGAAAGTCGACTTCTCTGGTATCGATGTTAACGCCCTCTATCTCTTCCATCTAGCTACGACCTACTTGAGTGGTTCCGACCCATGTTGCAACGTACTCTGCCGCCTGGTCTATCCAGGGTATCCATCAAATCAAATGAACCAAATTTAGCGCCGATTTGGTTCATTTGATTCATTTGTCAATTGAGTCAAATCTTAATAAGCAATAATTTTGTTAGGATACTAGTAACTGTCAAGAATTTCCATCTCAGAAAAGGAGTCCGCCAAGACTTTTTATTTTTCCAACAAAAACATGCCAAAATATACTAAAATGTACAATTTTTCTGCTAAGACCTAATTTGAGTAATTTGACAAACGTGATTTGATTGCCAAGCATTTGATTTGATTTGATTTGACTAATTTGATTTGACTGGATACACTGGACCGTCTATCGTCCATGGGTATTCCCGCTACGGAAGCTTTACATCAACGACACCGGTCACATTGTGCTTGAGAACTTGATGATAGCCATATTGAAGGCACATACCAATTGCACACCTGCCGGCGTTGATGATACTCTCATACAGGAAAGGCGGTTCCCCGGAAAGGAAATTGACATCTACGGAAGATGGGATGCTAATTGTGATTACATCAGTGCTCCCTTGGCTCGCGGAGAATGCAGAATTCCGTTCGACTGGAAGCACAAGTTCTGCCATACGTCATCCCAAACCATCTGTTACTGCATTGGCGGCTTATTCGGGGCTCGCTGGAGACCAGAGGTTGACACACCAAGTGGGCTATTCGTGAAACGCCATTTAGACTTCGGCTGCAAGCTCGAACTCTTCCCATTGCACGTGTTGGTGATGGTAGCTTTCCAACTTGCTCAGAATGCCTGCCATGGCGCAGACTTATTCGGCACCATCGCTTGTTTGCTTTGCCTCCTTGGCAAAGGCGCAAACTCGTTTCTGAAAACCAATCTCTCCATATCGGCTCTCTTCAGAACGTAGCAGCAAAGTGAAGAAGGTGATCATGAGACGCTCGATTCGTTACAACTTGCAAGGCGAGTCCCAATTACGTTCCTAATCAATTGGTCGGAGGAGGCTAGAATTGGGTGGGAGGTGTTCTGCCTCGTTCTCCAACTATCTCCAGGAGCCTGGGCCTCCTGACCCGTCACATCGAGGAACTTAGCAGGCGGATTCTTCAAAGGACGACTTTGACCGATTTATACAATACGATGATGATGCAATGAATGTTGACAGCGGGGAGGATGCAATGGACGTTGAAGATGGTACTGTGCATTGCGAAACTCTTGCAAATCCTTGGCGTTATATCAAGAATTGCTGGCGCCGTGTTATCAAACAGAAATAGCTCTTGAGGGATCTTCTATGGACTTGTATCATGTAGTCAATATATCAAAATGATGCTAAGCTTCTCCTGATTTTAATGATATAGGCTTTAGGTATATAGGATTCTTTTTGAAGAAGTAAATTTTACTATGCAAAAGGCCAACTTTATGGATTGAGATGTATAAGACTGTTTATCTGTATCATTAGAATCAGAAGATGCTCAGCATTATCTTGAAAGAATACTGTGGTTGTGGCCGGTCCAAGGCGCTGAGGATGCAAATTGTGCGTGCGTGGACGAAGCTTGTGCTCACCATTTCTCCAGTCTAGAGAATGGGATCGGACGGAATGCGTTCGGAGCGGTCCATTCGCGGCTGGTGTATTTGGCTTTGTTCTGAGTATTCGCTATAAAACTCATACTTACTTAATAGCTATTAACCTGCTAAGATACAAAAAAGAGCATATTAAGGCGCTACCAGGATATTTGCCTGCGATAGAGCTAGGTAAGTCGCTTTGAACAGCTAATATCTCGTACTCTGCTGCTCTCAGAGTGCTTGAACAGGTTGGATTTCCTCTTGATCGCCATACTTACTATAATATTCGATCTCACACTACTTCTGCTGAACAAGATGAGTTCGCAGGGCTTGTTGTTGCTCTAGAGGAGGCAGGATTCGTCTTCGAATGTCGAATAAAGGAGGAATTTGATTCAGAAACTAGTATAGCTATCAGTAGACAGTTACAACAGATCTGGTTTGCTCATCCTCAGCAAATTCGCTATGCTTAATGATTTATAGCAGATTTCGCCCTCTTTGTCGACGGTACTTTTCGAATAAATGCTCTAAATCTTGTGCTTATTATTATTGCTAGTATTACGAATTCTAACTCGACGTTTGTGAGCTCTCTGTCGTTTGCTTATTCAGAAGCAAAGTTATCCTTTGATTTCATCCTTGAGAGCCTCAAAAAGCACGTTTTCTGCCCTCCTATCCCGGTATCACGTGTTATTATTAGTGACCAAGCTGCAGGCTTGAGGGCTTCTATGCCTATATCTCTTCCAAATACGATTCTCTAATTTTGCGATTAGCACGCTATTCAGAATATTGTAAAGAGACTCACTGATAAGGGCTATCCGAAAGAGATTCGCAAAGAAATGAAGTCACTACTATAGGCCTTTATTAAGAGTAATACGCATTATGATTTGAAGGCTATTCGTGTAGAGATTTATTTAAAATTAAGGCCGGATAAGATACAATATCTTGAGGAGTATTAGGCCCCTAAGGAGTTGCAGTTTCTACGAATTCATACTTAAAAGAATCTGAACTTGGGCGCCTATTCGAATCAACGCTCCGAGAGCCTCCACCCTGGCACCAAAGACATTCTAAACAAGCAATTAAGTATAAAAGAAGCTACTCGTCAACTAGGAGTTACCGTGCAGTCAAAACTAAGGCAGCTATCTCAGGAGGAGGCTCAAAATAGTGGTAAGTTACCTCGTACGCTTGACTCGCAAGCATTTGTATTGTTAACAGATACTATATCGCTTTTCGCTATTTCGAAGATATCTCCTGAATAAGAGACCACAAAGGATGAGATAAATAAGTGCGTTTTACGCCCTAAACCCTCTTGCTCTGAATGCGAATTACTTCTTCGATTTGGCCTTCCTTGCAAGCACTATCTTGCGCAGCTATTTGAAGATGGTGCCCCTATTCCTCGATCCTTAATACACCCTCGTTGGTGGATTAACGGTGAGCCTATTCGTATCACTAATTGGGTACCAACATACCGTGCTTTCGCCCTACTGATATCCCCTCCACGAAATTCCGCCTCTTACTTACAGCATCCTTATATCTCTCCTAATAGGAACCAGATTACAGCGCTTGGTCTACAGGTTCTTGAGGCTAGGGATGCTCTTACTAGCTATGCTCGTATACGTTATGATCAAGTAGCTACAAACGCTCAACAGGGTCTTGTTGAATTTGCTCAGGAGCTCAAGGAGGATGATCTTAATACTCGAATGCCAGATATTGTCAAAAAGCCAGGATGGAATAGGCAGTTTAAGAGTCACGATAAGGTCAACAAGCGATTTATGACGGGAACTGAGGCAGCAGAGCGTGATGCTAATGATAGAGAGCGGGCTGCTGCTCAAGAGGCACGCTAGGAGGCTAATTTAACTCTAACAGCTTTGTTTGTAACAGGGTCAACGCCTCTCGCAGGGCCTCCTTCTCCTCCTCCTCCTCCTCCTCCTTCTCCTCCTGCTGCTGCTGCTCTAGTTGGCTTGGAGTGCATTCTTGATACCCCCCCTCGTGGATTCGCCGCTGGCGCCCTCGTTATCCCTATCACCACCGCCACCACCACAGTTGATCGGTCCTTCCCAACTCCTGGGAATGAAGAAGAAGAAGAGGAGGAGGAGGAAGAAGAAGCTATAGATGAGGCTTTTATACCCCCTCCTTCAACGGCGCCAGCAGCGATGACGCAATCGAGAGCTGGGCGTAAGAGAGCCCCTACAATGAAGGCGTTAGAGGCCGAAATGGCGCCAAAACGGGGTACAGGGCAGGGCAGGGGCAGGGGCAGGGGCAGAGGAGGGAGAGGGGCAAGGGGATAGAGCTATTTCTGCAACACCATAGTCTCTATATGCGTTTCCTAATCGGGAAGTCATATCAGCATCAATAAATAGTGTACATTTCTGTGCGAAATCTTTATATTATTCAAATGGTCATGATGGGCAAATCTACTAGTAATTTGTATGACGTAAATCCCGCCAAGACCCAAACGCCGAATGGACCTTTGCCGAATGGACCGCCGCGAATGGACCGCTCCGAACGCATTCCGGGGATCGGACCACGTTCTTTCACTGCACGGAGAAAAATTGGAAGGATTATGAAGAAAAAGAATATGAGAGCAGAGAGGATGAGGAGTTGGATGACGTTTCTAGTGAGTAGTAGGATTCTCAGCTCAAGGGCAAACGCTTTCACTTCCTGGATTACGCGTCAATGACTTTCCCTAGTTATATCTTGCTGGGCACTGCTCCAGCACCCGGCTATGACTTCATATTGCATAGATAGGTGGTCAAGAGAAGAGCTTCTAACAATCCCGATATAAAGTATCTATATCCACCTTCGCAACGAGCAAGCCGAGCCCTGCGGTGGGAGTTTAGCCCTGCGGTGGGAGTTTAGCCCTGCAGTGGTAGTTTAGTCCTGCCCCGGCTTGGCTCGGTGAACAGTGAGTACACAGGTGGGGTCACAATTATCAAATGTAACATAAGATGGGCGCGTATCCTTATCTCCTTCCAGAAACGGTGGCATATCAGGATTCCACAGAATATGTGCCATGTGTAAACCCGGCTCCATGTTCCTGCCACATTCGAACGACGGTATCCGAGCATATATTCACTACAGACCGTAAGGATACACTAATCGCGACACCCCTTATTTCCCACCGCAGCGAGCTCAAGTAGGTTCCGACTAAGGAACTGCATGATCCATCTCACTGTTCACATTGGCAGAACGATTCTGAAGTTAAGATTCATCGGTGCAGACCATCTTCACATCAGTAACGGCTAGAATCACTTAGTGAGCGACCCCAGCTTGGCGAGCGCCGACGAATCAAGGTGCGTCGGTCCAACCTCGGTCTTGGAATCAGCACCATTCCGTCAAAATCGCTCTAAAGGGGTTCAAACCAAGAGGAGAAGATTCAGAAGGCTCTAAATGAGCCTCGAGGCATACGTCTTTGGGGCTAGCTTGACCGCAAGCACAGTCTCGTTTTAGTAACGTGGAGGGCTGGAAGGTGGTGAAGGACGTGCACAAGCTGACCGTTGCGGGGTTGCTGCGTGTAAACATGGGTTCCGTTCCGTACCGCCCCAGCCATGCGACGCTTGCTGCGTTTGTCGCTAGCGCCCGGAGCTAATGGAATGTACGAAGCTCCTCCAAAACAGGGAAGGAAGCCAACGCGCGTCACGTCATGGATATTAATTACAGTTGTATCCAAACCCGATTTACGACGTACTCGCCTCGCCTGGCCTCGCGGAGTTGTTTGCACTGGTTACGAAGTTAAAATGACACACCGTACTATCACTCACCATTGCCTACACGTTTTCTGGGAGGCCAAGGCAAAGACTGTCGGTGGCTGCTCGTACTACTAATACGGTATTGGGCAGAAGTATTCCTAGCACGGCGCTAGTTCCATGACCCAGAAAGCTTCTCTCCTTTTCACTAAGTATATAGTGGTCAGGCTGTATTATGTTAATTCAGCTTGCTGGGTAACAGCAGAAGAAGCTCTAGATAGCTTGGTGGTTATGTATTATATACTAGCCGCTCCTAGCACTGTGCGAGGGATACTTTTGCTTCCTACAGTAGTAGTACTAGTAGTGTATTGTAGCCAAGTCCAGCCAACTGAAGCACCAAATATGGCTTCAAGTCCTTGCTTGACTACTACGTTAAACCAAAATTGTACTATAATGTACGTAGTAGCTTCTTGTCAGTGATCCAAGTTTGTGGTAGCATTGCCGGCCGTGGTTGCACAAGCACGTGGCCTACTCTCGGTCTCCGACGGTTCAGTACCGATCATTAACACAAGGCTTCGTGTTGGTATTTACCTTGGCAGCCAACCAATCCGTCGTAACAATCGTACGGTCGTGCTGTCCTACAGAGCCTGCTGATGAGCCGCTCGCTTACGGCCAACATGAATGGTATACTTTACCCAGATCACTATGAGCTTTAATGGAATCACTAATTCTCCATCGAGATATCTGATATGTCTGCAAGATCAAGAGAGAAACAACCACAGTTACCTTTAGGCGCTGCCTACTGATTAGGTTAAATCCCTTTGGCGCACTGTGCTCAGTCGTATGTTGTCTGCTTGGGTTACTGATCAATCTAGGGCCACCAAGAGCGGATTGGGGCGATGCATAGGAACACATGGGCTTTCCAGTGATACAGAACCACCGTGCGTTGGTGACGTTTGAAGATGAGATGGGCCTTGATTCGACAATGCAGCTGAAGAAACGGGGAAGAGGTTAGGCTCAACCAAGCTCAGACGATGGTAAGTATACTACGTAGTACGTGGTAAGCGAACACGCCAACACCCTGCAAATGCCACACCCGTTGTCTTGGGTAGGGATTTCGCTCTCCCTTGGTATTCGAGCTGAATTATGGAGTACCTGGCCGAGATGTGCTACCAGAGGCGTCTGAGCAAATGGAAAGCTGCAGTCGCGAAGCTCTACTACGGTACCAGGCCTAAATGTTGTACCTCCCCTGGGTCAAAATATCTTACAAACGCCTTTTTCACATACAAATTCCTGTCAGGGTCCCTGTCGCTATTTTGCATGATTTTTGCTCATCCTGAAATTTCTAGATTAGATGAAGAATTAAATACAAGAGCGCTAAAAAGATACCCTGCACAAGTATGATGAGCTACAAGCGGCTATTAAGGCTGTATGAGATACTGTGTCTTCCGACTATCTTAAGAAGCTGCTTCAGTTAATACAAGCGAGATGGCAAGCAATTATGGTTGTCAATGGAAAGGTTAAACCTGATTTGAGAGCTTAGTCCTATTTAGGGTGATCTATACTTAATTTTGTATAGTACGGTTTGTACAGATACTAACGTTTTCAGCAGGGGGGTACAAAAATTAGGCCTGGTACCGTAGTATCTTCAGCCTTCTTTCTGAAATCCCGTCTGCCACGCATGAAGATATCGCAAATCCGCAACATAAGTACCTACATTTGCGGCCCGCCCGTAGGGGCTCCCAAATTCACCGGAAGGCTATTTTACTCAACGTGCCTCAGATCTGGGCCTTCCATGGTTGAGCTTGCATGCGTGCAACCTTGGCTTGCTCCCTCTTCGAGATTAATGGGTATCTCATGGGTATCTTATGGGTATCCCTGTCGATCAGATATCTATCTGTGCATCCATCCATGGCCGATACCCTCCTCGGGTGGTTTGCAGCCTTCACCGCTGTCTCGCCCCACAATCTGACACCTGCACTCTCACTAGCTAACCCAGACCCGGCAATCAGCTAATGTAACCTGGGAAAAAGACTGAACCTTCCGAGGATGGTTGTACGACCCTGGTACTCTAGTTACTCTGTAACTGTACAGCATATAACCCACCTAACTTAAGGTCCATATTTACCAAAATACAATCTACGATCGCAGCTCGATTCTTCTAACTATGTGCCAAAGTAGAGACATCGGGATGATCATACGCGAATGATTGTTCTCTTGGAACAAATTCAACAACCATCAGATACACAACCCACGAAGACATTAGAAGTTGACGCCAAACTGCCAGCATCCCAATTGTATTTCTTGTTCTTATATTTAGCTTTAGTTGTGCCTAATGCAGACTTGGCTCATCCTTCATCCTTCTGGAATCCTTACGAGTCAATCGCTGATCGGTAAACTTTGAGTGGATCAACCCGCGGCAATCAACAGGCACGGAGCGGGGGTTTCGACTTGTCTCCGGCTGCTTGAACGCTGGTTATGAGGTAGTTAAGGCCTTCCTCTTGGGGCCGCGTTCATTGTCGTATCATCTTTGCGGCTGGAGCATTTGGATGATTAATCGCAGAGAGGGAGAGATAAAACAATGCCTCATGCTCTTTCCACCACGAAGACTAACGGCCCCCAACCCCGTTGCTCGTCCAAACATATCATCAAGATGCCTTCGACCCCTCAATCGCCGACCAAGTGTCCAAGGACTGCTACCAGCGAAGCCCAAGATCACCGTGACCCTGGTGAGGAATTCTTGCAGGTGGCAGGCCTGGTTGAGAGGAGACGTCTGCAAAATAGAATTGCGCAGAGAAATTACCGTAAGATTGCATCTTGACGTGAATGCGCCAGCAATTATCTGAAAAAGTGACAGGCAACAAGATCCGCGATCGACTAGAAGCTCTCGAAGCTCTCGTCAGCAGCACTGACAAGGCCGAAGTTCTGAATTCACGGACGGCAAAACCACCGTCCAACCCCAAGAGATCGCTCTCTGGCAACGTCAGCCATGTGAAATCCACCGAGGATGATACTCGTCCAGCAGTCCAAGATGAGCCGCCTGAGCTGCCTCCGGATAGCTCTGACCCCTGGGGTGACATGGACGACTTCCTCGACAGCTCCGCCAGGGACCTTGACAACCAATTACAGCATATCAACCCAAACGCCAGCCAACACAACTCGCTTGGACATTACCCGCACCTTTCGTCCACCAGTCCCTTGAGCTTCACAGACAACAACGACAATCCGCATTCACACCCTTCCATGGCCAATATCCCCTCTCCACCCATGACTTCCAACACCTCACTTTACATGCCGCACCTCGAAAGCGCCGCCACGCCCAGGGACCCTAGCCACCCCTCCGACCCCACAGCACAAATTTCCCAAACGGAGATCTCAGCATCACAAAATAGCAGTCCACCGCCTCAAGGCGCCTTCAACTACGCGTGTCCGTTCTCTCCCATTGCTATGCCCTTGCCAGGAATGCCGCTGACCCCAATTTCCATGTCATGTTTCAGTGAGTGAGCCCTATATCACTTCTTCCTTCCCCCTTTACCCATACCCATCCCGTTCCCGCCCCTCCACCTCCTCTACCATCCCTGGCCCACTTCGTCATAGAACGCCTTCGCTAATCTCTTCGGCAAAACAAACAGCCAACTTCGACACCACCACCAAACCCCATACCCACCCAGCCATACATCAGCAGCAGCAACCACAGAGCTATTTCCAGCCGCCATTACTCTCAACCCAGCGCTCGCAGCACCCGCACCCGAATCAGCAGCAACAGCAACATTACGTATGGATACCGGTCCCAGTCCCGGTATTATATATGCCTCCTCCTTGTTGTCCTCCTCATAGTACTACTTCTGCTCCTATTCAGCAAGCTAGCATGCAGCAAGCAGGGCTTGGGCAATCCTCCCAACCACGGACGGGCTATCACAGTGGTGGAGGCGGAGCGGATGACAGATGAAGCCTCATAGCATTTACCTGGAGGGCACCCGCGGAAAAAGTAACACTGTCCCAGCCGCAGCGACAGTATAGTTTATACAACACTCCCCTTGCCGTCCATTTATCATTGATGGCGTCTCCTTGCTTCTCCCCCCCAAAGCTTACAAGACACTATTGGCGCCATCACTACCGCACTACCTAATCATTAATCTCCTCGGTAATACCACTCAAAGTTTCACCCATCCTCATCGACCACAAACACTCACAAAGTTTCCCTCCCTAATCAACTTGAAAAACCCCGTCTTCAGACGCTTGAGCTGCGTTCTTGACTAGAAAAACACATCTCATCTACCTTCTAATGTACCGCCGTCGCCGTCATCGGTGTTACCGACACTCACGAGGAAACAGACTATGCAGCTAACAGCGCCTGGACCTGGCACTCGGGCCTGGAATCCGCGGGATGGGGTTTTTGGCCCTTGGGCCTACGGGCTCTCGAGAAATAAGGAAAGCACAGCCCGTTGTTCTGTGATGACGTTTGCAGCGCATGACAGGGCAGCCAGACAGAGTCCGAACAGGGCTCATAGTTGGGGAGCCGGCAGTTTCCGCCAGGGTAGGACGGGGAGGAATGCGCCCACGACAGATGCAAAAGACACCCCCCCAAAAAATAAATAAATAATAATCATAACACAGCAAGAGCAGCAACAACGACGTATTTCTTTATATCTTCGCATCATCTTTGATCATCATTATCATCATCATCATCATATGGGGGTTATGGGGGTTATAAATATGTATAAACAAAAGACATAGATCTGTTTCATCCTTTGGGGCGGGGGGTGGGGGTTCTCGATTTTGATTGTGAGAAAGGCAAAAAAAGGCAAAAAAGGAGAAAGAAGGAAAAAATCGAGTATCATGAGCATGTATGTGTATATTATATATATGATATGTAGGAATGGGAAAGAAACAGCGATGGAGAATAGAACGGTTTTTCATTACATGTCAACACACAGACTTCTGTGCCTCTTCAAGAAAGTGTCTATAGCATCTTTTTCTTTTTCTTTTTTCTGGCCAGCGTGGAACAGTTCATTTTACTTGAAGCTAAGTTATTTACTAGACTGCTAGGTTAGTTTGATTTTTGATTTGCCGCTCAATCTCATCCATGCACGCTCACACGGATACAGCGATGGGAAGCCGAAAGGGCGCTTGCTGATTTGGTGAAACTAAGTTAGTAGTCTAAAGAAGGGGGGGGGGGAGGGATTGTTCAGATCTTCCCGATAGATAACAATTATCGTCGATTCAATGCTGTACTACCACTATCACTCTGTCTTCTGTTTGCGGACCTAACTAGTTACAACTAGCTACAAAAGCGCCCACCTAATCTAATCTGCCCCCCTCCACCGTTTATTTCTGATTACAAGTCGCCCCTAGAATAAGCGATGAGAAAAACCCGGAGAGATGGGCTGTGAACTGGGTATCTCAACTCCCAGTGGGAGTCTTTTCTTGGATATGTACATACACATACACATGCACCAGCACCAATGGTGCCTATTGTTCATCGCTTGGGTGGGGAGGGGAACACAGAGAGAGAGAGAGAGAGAGAGAGAGAGAGCGAGAGAGAGAGAGAGAGAGAGAGAGAGAGAGAGAGAGAGAGAGAGAGAGAGAGAGAGAGAGAGAGAGAGAGAGAGAGAGAGAGAGAGAGAGAGAGAGAGAGGGGGCGGGGTTCTAACCAGATCCAGGTCAGGGTCTTCGGGCGGATGGGAGCATGGTGTAGCTGACTTATGAATCGGGGCCCCGGAAGACTCGCCTTCTGGATTTCGATTGCGCAGAAGGTTGATGGGGGATTATCTATTCGACTCGATTGGAGGTGTCTATTTCATGTCAGTCAGTTGAAGCCTGTCGTGAGTCGTGGCTCGGGAGAGGATAGGTTGACGTTTCGATGTGCGGGATTGTGGCCGTGTCTTGTCTTGTCTATTCTTGTCTCATGAAAACGTATAAAGAGATAGTGAGATGGGATTTGATGTAGGTGTATGTATATATGAGTGATGGCCATTAATAGTTAAATGGCCGCATTCAATCCTAGAGGAGCGAAGCTCGGATCTTCCAGTAAATGATCCTCCCTATGATGCCGATGGTTTTGAAGACATTGACGATCATGGCTGTCGAGCGAGTTCTAAAGAGGAGGGAAGGTAAGGGTAAGCAAGTTTTTCCCATCAGGAGAGTTGTGGGCGGTTTCTTTGCATCAGGGGAAACAAGAAATGGTCAATAAGTCACTTACGCCAATGAAGGATCCAAATCATCCGGCAGCTTCTCCACCATCGTGCCCGCTACAAAATCGCCAAACCCCGGATTCTTGTTCAGCATGTTGAAGAAATCTTCCCGCGCGGCGACGACTTTCGGATCGGTGGAGTGCAGACGCAGTTTTCCGTCCAGACAGAGCTTTTGCACTTGGTTGACGAAGTCGTTGCGGCGAAGGGTGGAGTATTTATCTAGGAGTCTGGGCCAGGAGGAGGCGTGTTGGGGGGTGAAGGCCTGGGGAAGGAGTCGGGACAAAACGGCTACGTCGACGAGGCCGGTTGTTAGCCCAAGGGCTGTGAGGGGGTTGTTGACCTGTGTTTTTGAAGCGGTTTAGGTCAGTGAATGCTGGGAGAGTGTTTGAGGCACTGGGAATGTAGCAGGGAGGGGAAGGATCGACGAACATGAGCAGCATCACCGCACAGTATGACTCGCCCAGACCGGTATGTCTTTGCGACGCGCTCGTGTGCCCAGTATGGGTTCACGGCGACCAACTCATACTGCAGCGGCCGCGGACCGGGTAAAAGCCGCTCAAGCTTGGCCGGTATATGCTTCTCTATCTCTTCAACTGGGATGTCCGGGCTTATTCCTGTGGCTATTCGCCAGAGCCCCTCTTCTACGTTGCTTGCTCGCACAATCACGGCCCAGTCCTCTGGGTCGAGCACGTGGTTCGCAGCGGGATAGCCATATTTGGTGAAGTCGTAGCGGAGGTTGATAGCGAGGAAACGCCAGTCGTGCCAGGTGTATCCTTCGAAAGGGATGCCGAGAGCTTTTCTGACTGGAGAGGAGGCTCCGTCGCAGCCAACCACGAAGCGGGCGGAAAAGTACTTTGTCTTGCCGTCCGGTGTGGACGTTTCAAGCCTGACAGCGTCATGTTCTTCTTCCAACCCTACGAAGCGCGTGTTGTATTGAAGGGAAAATGACGGGTATTTTTGGGCGTGTCTTCGGAGTATTTCGGCAAGTCTTGGCTGGCCGAGCTGGACCCCATAGTCGATCGAGCCTTGCGACGCTTTCCCCGGAGGAATGCTGGCCAAGACTTTGTTGGAACCGCTCGCTGTCGTCCGAAAACATAGACCTTCTTGGTTCTTGTAGCCTGCTCTGACCACTTCGTCTAGGATACCGAACTTTTCGAATTCATTGAGGACAATTGGAAAATACCTATTGGTGACTTAGTCTGACAGGAACAAGGCTTTCTCTGCTGCTTATGGTTTTTGAGACTTCCGTACGCACATGAGAGCCCTTGGGCTTTGATTGATATCCGCCTCCGCCTCGAGAACCACGGTATCGAGGCCCTTTTGCGCCAGATTGAGTCCTAGAAACAGTCCAACCGGGCCCCCACCGACGATGACCACATCGTGCTGTTCAGAAATGTTTTCTTCGGGTAATTGCTTCGCCATTGCACCTTAGGCTAGAATGGGGAGCGTCTGGCTGGTGGCACACTTGCTGTACTGTGTAAAGGGGAACCCAGAGTACGGCTCCGGCGACAGAAGGTCGTCCGGTCCATGGCGAACATTTGGTCATGTGACCAGGCCGGGACGAGGTCAGTAAGCTGATCCTTCCAGTGATTTCAGCTCAGTGGGGTCGAGTCAGCTTATCCCATGGACCTCATCTATTTTGAGAAGGCTAAGGGTGCTTGTCTGTTGTTGTGCTTCAACGCTGCATGACCAAGAATAGTAGCTGACTAGTAGTCAACTACTAGTTAGTTGGCAGAAAATGAATATTTTGGGAAAAATTCAAGTCCTGGGTTGATAGAGGGTGACGTAAGTGGTTGAGGCTGCTCAACGTCTCTGGGCGTAACTCGCATTGTTTGTTGCCAAGCCAAAAGGAGAGTTCCGTCTACCCACAGCTTAGGTGGACAAGGGCTTTGAAAGAGACGTTGTATTACTCCGTAGGCCTTAATAAATTAACAGGGATTTGGGTATTGTAAGGATTGTCAAAGGGCAACTGGATAACTATAATTTGATCATTTTATGAGAATATTTCTGGGAAAAGACATTTAAAATGACGCAATTTCATTAGATTCCGAACAGGTGGAAGAAATGGCTCTGTTCTCTCTCAAAAGTTGCGCAGGCCACAGAAATAAGTACAAACTTGCCGTACGGCACAGCGAAATTAGCTGCGAAAACTGCAATAGAAATTGACCAATCAGAAGCAGGCGAAACGCAGGGGTTTCACGTAGAAAACCCAACCAATGAGCGCTCCTGCCATTCAACATAAGGTGTATGGTCACATGAGGCGAAAGGTTCTAGCATTATAAATGACACCATAGACTGGATGCTAAGGGGTGTGTTGAATCGTTTCCCTGGAACAAGAACACTTTACATGCTGAATGCAATGGATGCTAGAAGGGAGAATCGACGAAATAGGGGCAGAATGGCGATCGAACAACAATAGGTAAAGGCTACATGTATGCCAGGCGAATTCTTCTTGAATCTGAGCAAAAGGTCGTTTGAGGGAGAATTGTACAGCTGCGTAGCTATTTTAGCCTGGGAAAAGCAAAGGTCTAGCTAGCCAAGGTAATCCGGCTAAGAAGAGAATGACGCCAACCGACAAGCACCGAAGCGGTCCTCACCATACATCTGCTAAAGCCAAGCGGACGAGAGAATCCCACCAACTACATAACAAGGAAAACACGCTCCCACTTGAGGCCAAAGGCAAGCACTAAGATTAAAGCCCCGGATGTCATGCACAGGATATATGTTTTGCTGATAGAAACCACGATTGCGTGCAGAATTTGCTGTTGGACATCTCTGGATAGGGATTGTAGAAAGGCTGAGCGCGAAGCGGAAATGGCAGAATCGATTTCGTCCGGAGAGGCGTTGGGAAGAATGTTCGCAATCTGTATTTGGGCGTCGTTGAGAAATATGGTGTTCGCTAGCGTCAAAGCTATAACGAGACCACTAATTTGCGCAAGGTTGATAAACGCGACAGCTGAAATAGGTTAGCTAGGCCTTGTTTCAATCTATGTGTAAGTAGGTAATGCTTACCGGCGGACATTTCGGATCGAGGGACAACGGCCTGGGCGACGATGAAGCCAATCTGTACAATACAGCCAGCCCCAGACGCGAGCAATATCGAATATCCATAGATTCTGGCCGTACTTGTAGTTTCATTGACGGTATACATGAGCGCAGACCCAATGATAATGAAGATCGATGCACCAATGTACCAGGGCGCGTAGTGACCTTCCTTGCCCATGATGGCTCCATTGGCGAGGGAAAAGAATACCAAGAAGCACACGAAGGGAAGAAGTCGAACAGCGGCGTCTAGTGCCCCGTCTCCCCTGGTGAACTGGAAGAACAATGGGATGAAGTAGACCGGAACAAAGATTGGAGCTCCTGAAGCCGCGGATTGGACGAAAAGAAGCACGAGAGTACGTGATTTGAAGTATTGTACGGGAAGGAGACGGTGTTCGAGGTTGGTGAAGAGACAGAAGCATTGCTGGATGCCAAAGAGGACAAACAACAAACCCGATAGGCATAGCGTGGTGATGATCGTGGCCGAGCGCCTGCATATATTAGTTCACAACAAGGAGCTCAACAAAAGATGTCATACCATTCGAACAACGATCCACCAAACGACAGTCCAACGGTTCCAAGAGAGAATGCGGCAATGATCAGGAAAGACCCCGCTTGTGTCAGAAATCAGCAAGGCTCGTTCATCACAATGGTGGTGAATTAAGACTAACCATAGTCGAAGGCAGCAGCCTTCTGAACGGTCCGTTGCTCGGGCCGGGGATCGACAGATGGTATCATGAAGAGGTAGACCGGGGCAAAGAGGCCGCCAATAACAAGGTTGATGCTACGAGGATCAGCAAGATGATGATTTGTCTAAGGGATCTTCATACTAGAACGCCCATCTCCATGTTGCACTGCTCTCAGCAAACGCTCCGCCGATGACCGGTCTATTCGCTAGCATTAACACTCTCCCACTAGAGCTAGTCTTATAGACACTTACCCAAGCACACTGCCTAAGCCCCAAACAAGACCAGTAGAGGCTACGTATACAGGCCTCTCTGATGCAGTCGTAAGGGCCGACAGCAAGGTCAAGACCCCAAGGTAGAGACCGGCACCACCTAGTCCGGCAAGAGCTCGACCAAAAATGAGGACATCCATCAGGTTAGCCGAGCCGCAAAGTGCAGACCCTATCTCAAAGAGGACAAGGGCAATGAGATAGAGAGGCTTGTAGTCGAAACTTCCGAATAGCGAAGCCCTGTGACATTGTATTAGTCGGCGACACCACCATACGTCCACTGCAGGGCAAACATACCAGACAAGAGTTGTCGAAGCTGCGCCTAGCGCGAATGCCACCGACAGCCATGGTAGCTTGTCAATGCTTCCAGGGTAAGTCTCGATGATCTGAGGTTGGACATCGGCAACAATGGAGTTGTCCAGCGCGAAGAGGAAGGCGGAGGAGAGGATGCCAACGACGAGAAGAAACCATTTGATGCCTTTGGTAGAGCGTTCGGTTTTCTGACCTGGCTGTTCGAAGCATCGTGTCAACTCATGTACGGCTAGCGTTGGATAGAGAGCTTGCCTACCGTCTCGGCTTCACTTGCTACGGGAAGTACTTTCTCCCTCTCACCCACATCCCCATTTGGTTCGTTACCTGACGACATGTCGAGAGTTCTGGACTCAAGGCTCGAAGAGAAGCAACTGTGATGTTGTGTTTTCTTCCGATGCTGATTTTTTGGCAAAGGAACGCGGCTAAAGGTTTGAGAGAATACGAGAAAGATGAGGATCCATTACTATGAAAGTAATTAATGCAAAGCAGGAAAAGAAAACGTGGTAGTCTGTCCGGTGAGTGCAGGTTCACAAGAGCGGTCCGGCTCCTAGGGACAGCCATATTGCCGTGCATTCTTGCTACCGCTCCCTGCGAGATTGGGGGATATTCTTGAGGTCAGGGACTACATACGGAGTACACCGGCTAGCGCTTCCAAGCTCCGGAACGGCAGCCATTTCTCGTCTTGCCGGGCCGGATGTTACAGTGGTACAGTGGATTTGATGTGACTCTTTAGCGACCCGATTCATATTATATGATGCATTGTGCGTCCAAAAATCACCAAGTACTCTGTTCACTCGATGCTTACATCTCACCACTCTGCTGTAAATTGTGCTCACCTACTCTGTATCTGAGAAGCCATCGACGCAATGCCATTCAAACGATCTGCTCCTTGTCAATTAGCCATGCGCCACGAGAAGCTTGCAGGATCTTTTACACGTCAGCACACTCATCCTTGGCTATGCGAGCATATCTCTGTTGGCCATGGCCCCCAAGATGACTGAGTCGCCGGGCTGGCTTACAGATCGCTCGGTTCATTAAAATGGAGTATTTCATTATCAGCGAGCCTTCTTGAGTGACCCCATTTGTTTCTGCATGCTCTCATCCCGTAGCTTTGCAAGATGACTAGCCCAGCGTCTTTCACTGATTTTGCCGAAACCATCTCTGCCAATGCGAGAATCATCGATGAATTTTTGAATTCCAATTCGACCATTCCTCGTCCTTCGTTTGCTCCAGATGGCCCAATCGGCTTTCCTTGCCCGCCACAGATCACTCCCATACATGCAGCTCGGGAAGCTCTCTTAGATGCATCGAAAAAGCTCTACCAGCTGGCACTTGGTCCGTTGGAGTCACTCTTTGAGCTCGCAGTGCGCGTATGTATCAGCCTGCCCAGTCTACAGAGCATTCGATGCTGATGGCGACATAGTGTCATGACAGTGCCTGTCTCCACGCCATCTACAGGTTTGATATGGCCGCCAAGGTGCCTGTGGATGGTGAGAAATCTTTCGCGGAGATTGCCGAGGCGATCGGGGTGGATGAGGACCGAACCCGGCGAGTCCTGAAGTTTGCCATGACCAACGGCCTTTTCAAAGAAGCACGCCCAGGGTTTGTCTCGCACACCAGTGTGTCGGCGCTCATGGCGCAGAACACGATGGGTGTGAATGCTGTGGTGGGGCATGTGATTGATGATACTTACCCGGCTTCGTGCAAGCTTGCGGACACCATGGAGAAGTATCCAGTTCCGAAGAATCGACTCATCGAAACGCCGTTTGCAATGGCCTACCAGACGGGTGAACCGTTCTTCGACTATATGAAAAAGCACCCTCATCGTATCAATCGCTTCCAGGAAGCCATGAGGGCAATCAACAACAGTGGACCGTACAGCGGAGAAACCCTTGCCCAAGGCTACGATTGGAGTCCGTTCGAGTCCGGCACACTTGTTGATGTGGGCCATCCACTCTCCCCCCTACTTAAGTTGTTGACCAGCTCCTAGGTTGGAGGCTCAAGTGGCCATACAGCCCTCAAGATTGCCGATGCTTCTTCCATTTCCAACATCATCGTCCAAGATATCAATGTTAAGGAAGTGAAAAACGCTCAGAAGGGACTAGAAAAGAAATATGAGGGTCGAGTACGCTTCATGGAGCATGATTTCTTCAAACCTCAGCCGGTCAAGGACGCCGACGCCTACTTCTTCCGCCTGATATTTCACGACTGGCCGGACCAGGAGTGCATCGAGATCCTTCGCAATCTTGTGCCTGCGCTCAAAAGTGGCGCCAGCATCCTCATTTGTGACAGTGTCCTTCCGGAACCCAATACCGTGCCCAATCGTCTTGAAAAGGAGGCGCGGTACGTCGCTTCCTATCCACTCAGACCCATGTGAGAGAAATGGCTCCTTGCTGACTCAACCTTTTCCTCCGCAGTATCTGCGATCTACACATGCTTTCCTTGATCGGATCCACGGAGCGTGAGATTGGCGCTTGGCAAAGCCTTTTTGCTGCTGCCGACCCACGTTTCAAGTTTATTGGAGCGAAGCAGCCATCTGGGAGTGTTCTGTCCGTGGTCGAAGCAAAGTGGGAAGCGAATGGAGCACTTGCGAACGGAGGAGATACAAATGGGGTCAATGGCTCGTAAAGGTAGTAGTTAGGCCAGCGTAGGATCATTTTGGTGGTCGTTAGAAGTAGCATTTCAATCATCAGGAATCGCCTTGCTTCCTCGCTACGTCTTGCAGAATCATACGCCAGCTTAGTTGCACAGCTGGGGTGCCTAAGAGCTTTCTAAATGCAGGTTCCAAATCCTGAATTTCCTAGGCTGAGAGTGAAATCCAGTACCATTCCACACCCAGGAAGCAATACTACTTACTCTCCGATCGAGTCAGAAGGTTGGCTCATGGGACAGCAATAGCAAGGATTTACCTACCTTGAATCACAATAATCCGCTTTATTAATTCTAGATTTTTTCTTGTCGACTGGAATATTTATATATCATTGATATTGACTTCAACCTGCCGGTCTGGAATGCCCTGCTCCATCACCGGCATCGCGCCATATAGGATATCGTTATCATTCTCAGTCGTATCCTGGGAGCACCTCTTTCGCAATACCATAGCCCGGATCTGGATTGAGCACCTCGGAAAAGCTTCGAAAAGTCGTTATGAAGAGATCATCGTTGTACTCATAATGCACGCTACCACCACCCACAGCGTAAGCAACATATCCTTCCTCACGCCTCATTCGAAATGGCCGGGCACAAAAACAGTAGGCAAGACTCACATGATCGGATACGTGAATTTCTCGCCCTTCTTATACGTTTTCCCGGTAAAGGGGAAGGGAAAATCTATCTCCACCAACGCCTCAGTCCTCACACACGCCTCCATCGCCACCGAGCGCTCCGTAAACTGCAGCCATGTCGGATGGAGCGTCTCGCGGCAAAAGGACAGGCCAGTCTCGAAGAGGGCGACGGTCTCGGCTCGGCTCTTGGTGGGTGGGACGCCAGGGAGGTGAACATGGAAATCCACGGCGTAGTATTGACCGTAATCTGATGCGTTGTGTGTGTTGAAGGCTTTGAGATAGGCGTCGAATTTTTCTTTGGTTGGGGGTGGGGACATGATGGAAGCGGAAGCGGAAGCGGGTGGTTCAAGAGGCAGAGGAGACGATGGGCAGAGGGAGCGGTATGGGAATGAGAGTGCAACAGTGAGTCACTTGAGTCCTACCCTGTGAGCATACGTTCTTCGTTATATTCTCCTTGGGACACCACTACCATAAGTCCATCTCCTTGCCTAGTCCCCGATACCTAACATACTAGTAGTTAAGAACACCGCCTTTGCAGTACTGTCATCACACCCGGAAAAGGGGGTGAAAGTGCTTCACTCGGTATGATTATCTCACCTCATAATGCTTACACATGGCCCGAAGGCCCGAAGGCCCGAAGCCCGACTGAAGGAGCGAAGGAGCGCTCGAGCCTACAGCTGACCGCTGACATGGGGCCACAGGGGCCAAAGGGGCCAAATGCTTGTTTTTAGCTCACCACATTTACTACTACGCAGTATGTACATCCCGGTTATGGATGAGTCGGACTGCACATTCATTTACACCTTTTTAGGCGTACACTTTACTACGTATCACAGCATGTAAGAGGCGTCGAATACAGTCAGATTCCTCGGAATGGGGCTGTTACAGCGGTCCTTGTCTTTGCTACCTCGAGCTCCGTTCAATCTCGTGATGCTCTCTTTGCGTCCTTTGAAATCAGACAGACTACTGGTACAGTACGCAGAAGACAAACGAATTCGCTCGTTTCAATATTGTTCTCCTGAAGACAGGGTATAGCATCCATAATTCATCATGGCGACGATGGACGCTCTCATGGTAGAAGCAGTCGGACAGCCCATCGTCAAAGGAAAACGACCAATCCCCACCCCGAGCGAGGGCGAGATCCTCGTCAAAGTGACCGTCGTCGGATGTAAGCAGCACGCTGCAGACCTCCACTCTCCTCGATATACTCATGAATTCCCACAGTAAATCCCTATGACTTCCGCGTCCGCGACTGGGGCCTCTACGTCGAAGGGCGCCTCCCCGTCGTCCTCGGCAACGACATCGCCGGCACGGTAGAGAAACTGGGTCCCAACACCTCCAGCCACCTCAAGCCAGGCGACCACATCTTCGGGCAGACCAACTACCTGAAAAACCCCTCGGACCAATGCGGCCTGCAAGAATACTGCCTGCTCGACGCCTCCAGCTGCGCCAAAAGATCCCCGAGAACCTGACCGACGACGACGGCGCCTCGCTCGTCTGCAACATGGTGGCGCCATTCTGGGCCATCTTCGGCGCCCACGGACTCGGCCTGCCCTTCCCCTTCCCCTCCGAAGAAGACGCGGCCCAAGCTGCATTCGACTACAGCAGCCAGACGATCCTGATCCTCGGCGCCGGCAGCAACTGCGGCAAGTACGGCGTGCAGGCCAGCGCGCTCGCCGGCTTCGGCACCATCATCGCCGTGGCCGACGCGCGCCGCAACGGATCCGACCTCCGCTCCTACGGCGCCACCCACATCATCGACCGCCACGCCGCCGACGACGACGTCGCGGCCCAGATCCGCAGCCTCGTCGGCGACGAGCTCGTCTACGCCTTCGACGCCGTCAACGTCGACCACACCCTCGGCGTCCGCTGTCTCTCTAACACCAAACGCGGCACCTTGGCGTGCATCGTGCCGGGCAAGGTGGACGAGGCAAGCCTCGCTGGAGCCAAGAAGGCCGGCTTCGACGATAAGTTCATCCAGGGCCAGAGCAGCAATCAGCCGCAGCTGGGACGCAAGTTCTGGGACTGGCTTCCCGTCTGGATGCGCGAGGGCAGGGTCCGGAGTACCGGCTGGACCGTCCTGGAGGGGTTGGATCCCGTCAAGGTCAATGCCGTGCTGGATGCTTATCGCGATAACAGGTGGCCGGAGAAACAGGTGCATGTGCATCTGTGAGATTTGGGGTGGAGAAGGAGGGGGGAGCCCAGGAACCCCAAAAAGGGGTGAAGAGGTCAGCAATCATGGATCAATCTCAGCGGAGTAGCCTCGTTTAATTGCAATGATCTTATCTGCTCAAAAATGGGGGTTTGGGCATGACGCTGTGACGGCCACAAGGGGAAAAATTACAGATTCGTAAGCACTAGACAGGAAAAGAAAAAGAAAACGGTCCTGAGCAGAGCCAAAACAAAAAATATACACTGCATACTTTCAACGTTCCAAGCTAATGCATAGCTTTTCTATTTCATTCCGGTCTATAAGTCCGATAACATCAACAGCAGCGGCACCACTCATCTTTCATTCCAGTACACCCCACTATCCCTCTCATTACTCACCCCTTCCCCCTCCCCTCCGGCCTAGAATCCTTAACAACCCCCTCCGCCCCCTCCCTCCTCTCCAACCCCTCCCTCATCGCCTTTCCCCTCACCAT